TACTTCGTCACTCAGGTCAAATTAGGAAACTAATAACTAAAATACTTCGTCACTCAGGTCAAATTAGGAAACTAATAACTAAAATACTTCGTCACTCAGGTCAAATTAGGAAACTAATAACTAAAATACTTCGTCACTCAGGTCAAATTAGGAAACTAATAACTAAAATACTTCGTCACTCAGGTCAAATTAGGAAACTAATAACTAAAATACTTCGTCACTCAGGTCAAATTAGGAAACTAATAACTAAAATACTACGTCACTCAGGTCAAATTAGGAAACTAATAACTAAAATACTTCGTCACTCAGGTCAAATTAGGAAACTAATAACTAAAATACTACGTCACTCAGGTCAAATTAGGAAACTAATAACTAAAATACTTCGTCACTCAGGTCAAATTAGGAAACTAATAACTAAAATACTTCGTCACTCAGGTCAAATTAGGAAACTAATAACTAAAATACTACGTCACTCAGGTCAAATTAGGAAACTAATAACTAAAATACTACGTCACTCAGGTCAAATTAGGAAACTAATAACTAAAATACTTCGTCACTCAGGTCAAATTAGGAAACTAATAACTAAAATACTTCGTCACTCAGGTCAAATTAAGAAAATTAATAACTAAAATACTTCGTCACTCAGGTTAAATTAGGAAACTAATAACTAAAATACTTCGTCACTCAGGTCAAATTAGGAAACTAATAACTAAAATACTTCGTCACTCAGGTCAAATTAGGAAACTAATAACTAAAATACTTCGTCACTCAGGTAAAATTAGGAAACTAATAACTAAAATACTTAGTCACTCAGGTCAAATTAGGAAACTAATAACTAAAATACTTCGTCACTCAGGTCAAATTAGGAAACTAATAACTAAAATACTTCGTCACTCAGGTCAAATTAGGAAACTAATAACTAAAATACTTTGTCACTCAGGTCAAATTAGGAAACTAATAACTAAAATACTTCGTCACTCAGGTCAAATTAGAAAACTAATAACTAAAATACTACGTCACTCAGGTCAAATTAGGAAACTAATAACTAAAATACTACGTCACTCAGGTCAAATTAGGAAACTAATAACTAAAATACTTCGTCACTCAGGTCAAATTAGGAAACTAATAACTAAAATACTACGTCACTCAGGTCAAATTAATGCATACTGACAGGTAGGGGAATGCATTCTGAATAGAATAACATTCCTCATTTAACGATATTCGAAAAAGTCGGCATTCGGGCACTAGCAAGCATGGAATTGTTGCCAAGGGGCTGTACACAGCACGGGAGTGCGGCTGGACCTGTTGCCAGAGCGGCTGTCAGCTGTCCGTATACATTCTTTTTTACCTATTCTCAATCTTCTCTCATTAGTTTGTTAATTCTATTTAAGTTACTTTTTATGAGTTTTGAAAATGAAATAATATAAATATTAATAGTTGTGCATGAAAATCGAGAGCCGCACCTTGACATCCAAAGAGCCACATGCTGCTCCGTGAAAAGTGTAGAACTATCCATTTTAGAAATTAGATTTCATGGCGGCATAAAATACGGGAAATACATCGCGGCAATAAAAAAAAATAGTGTTTCGTTGTAATAGTTGTTTCCCATATTATAAGATATAGCAACCAAGGGAAACAAAAACAACCTAAAATAATTATGTGGGTAAAAAGTAATAATACAATAAAAACTAAAATGATTGTTTTATTAATTAGATATGTCGCAGTTATTAATATTTTCTTACCACAAGTTCTGTCCATTATTGATACGTTTTGGATTTCTGAATAATTAAGTTGCTCTAAAACGTGAAGAAAACCATTAGCTCAATGACCGGCGGCATTTTATCAGATGGGAAACCGCCGCTTCTTCCATGTTCATATGACATCAATGAGAAATTTTGGATCCCTTGAAAATCAAGGGACAAGTTGAAAATGAAAATTATCTGTTGCTGTTCATATGTGACAAGTAGCAGCAATTTAAGTTTGCCAACAATTATTTTGATAGCATTATTTAATACCATGATTAATTATATACTTAGACCATGGATCAAAAGAGCCGCATGCACAAATATTAATAATTGTTTTGTTTTAATTTCAAAACTTATAAAAATATTGTTCTGTAACACTCGGTAATGAACGATTTTTTTTTTTGCCTCAGACATGTAATTTACAGCGTCAGTTGTGTGTTCGCTTTAGTATTACAGTTTTCATCATCGGCTTGTGAGGACTGATACAGATTTACAATAGTAATACTTCTTTATTACTTGTAGCCTACTTTCATTCATTTTAGATGGTTTATTTATACATTAATCTAATACAAAACGTCTAAATATTAGAAAAAAGTAACAAATTAAAAAAAAACCTAAACATGCAAATGTGTAATTAAATGATGATTCAGGGGATCTTTTTTCCGTCGGCGTGGTGGGTGAGGGGAGGGGGGGGGTCGGGGGTGAAATTTGGGTTTTTAAGTAGAGCTGAAACAGAGGCGTAGCGACCCTTCCCGGCGCCCGGGGACAAACTTTCGATTTGCACCCCCCCCCCCCCCCCTCAAACTTTCGATTTGCACCCCCGCTCAAATTTTCGATTTGCACCCCCCTCAAGCTTTCAATTTATTTTTCCAACCCATTTTGGCGCCCCCTAAGGTCGGCGCCCGGGGACATATGTCCCCCCCCCCCGCCCCCCACCCCCCCCCCTCGCTACGCATCTGCTTTAAGCGACAATTCAAATCACGTGTTACTTTGCAATATATGTTTTATAAGAAAATGCGAAGCACATTCTACAGGTCTACATGGAATCATTATTTGTTTTGTGATTATAACTGGCGTTCTATGTTTAAGAGTAGCCCATTTCTGTTTCTATTCCTATTTACAATGTATGGCCAATACATATATAGGATTTTAATGTATATACACTAGCTTTTGTTTGAAAGGCAAATTGGACCTTAGGCATGTTATTTTTTATATACGTACACAACACAGACGGCAATGTTATACCTGCCGCCCATTTCTGTTTCTATTCCTATTTACAATGTATGGCCAATACATATATAGGATATTAATGTATATACAATAGTTTTTGTTTGAAAGGCAAATTGGACCTCAGGCATGTTATTTTTGATATACGTACACAACACAGACGGCAATGTTATACCTGCCGCCCATCATGTGTACAAATAGATAAAAATAAGTACTGCCACTACGTGAAATTGCCAGTCGTGTGTAGGTTATCTAAGTTGTTTGGCAAAAGTCTAGCCTACACGCATAAATGTCATGCATTTTCAGGCTATTTCTTAGGCTAAATTAAGAACAGCCACCTATACCGGCGTCCGGGGCGGCTTATTAATTTGCGCCCCCTCCATCCCATTTCTATATATAGTTTTTCCTGTCTGTGAACCCCCACTCCCCACCCCAATTGAAAAGATTTGTGGCGCTTCTTACCAGTTACTATCCCGTATCATTTTCTATTTCGGTGCCACAAAATTGATATAGAAAACAGTTAAATTAGTGTGTAAAGCCTTGTAGTTGTTTATTTTTTAACATTGACTGTACATAATTCAATACTTCAGCTTTAAATGAGCTTTGAAACAAATTAATTTCTCTACCCCTTTTGGCGCCCCCTATGCGTCGGCGTCGGGGCGGCCGCCCCACCCGCCCTCCCCTAGCTACGCCACTGTTGGTAAAGGTGTATTGTAACATAGTTCTAAAGTCTACGTCATAATGTCAGGTAGGCAATGATATGCCAGGAAGATTTGATATTACGTACGCTGGCCAGTACAGAAAACAAAACACAATTTTGGGAAATTTTATTATCGAATATCGGTGTAATATTTTAAACAATATACTTTTACAAAGATTACTTTATGTGTAATGTGTATGCTTTAAATTCAATTTGCTTTGTATTGTTAATTTATAATAAAATACGTTTACCAGTATGCCATTATTTAGTATGACCTTTTTTTAAAAAAAAGGTAACAACAGAAGAAGCCAGTTTTATGAATTTGACATTTTTGAATGATCATCCGAGAAAATATGTCAATAAAAAAATGCCCCCTGCACTATAAATGGGTTGAAATTTAATTACATGGTTCACGACAAATCTACACATTTACAGACATTGTGAAGTAAATCAAAAGCTTATGAAAATAAAAATGTTTCTCAGCGGGAACAGTAATAGACGCTATGAACTTGGTCATGTCCTCTAACCTAGATCGAGTCCATGAATGCAGTTCAAGTTTAAAGGTGAAGGACAGGGGTGTTCATTTTTTATAGCACATCGGACAAAACCACTCGAGCATGACTGGTGTCAGTGGCGTAGCTAGATCGGGTGTCACCCGGTGCGGCACCTCATGGTGTCACCCCCCTCCCCACTTTTTAGTTCTGTAAATTTTGCTGTTGATATCACCCCTCGCCTCCTTCCCCGGTAATTTTTTAAACTGTTTACATTTAATACTAATGATGTTTACCTATAGTCGCTTGTTATTAGTTCAATATAGCTGGGTGTAGCATTATTGGCTCTACAGTTTGCGTGTTTACGTTATAGTGTCATCCCCCTCCCCTTGTCGGGATCGTCATTATGTACTTAAAATACTTTTAAATTATAATTAACCATTCATTGAACTGGCAAACTACATATTTATTCTATAGTCTTTCAATTTTTTTGACTTGGTGTCACCCCCCCCCCCCCCAAATGGTGTTACCCGGTGCGATCCGCACACCCCCGCCGCAGCCTCGCGACGCCCCTGATTGGCGTTAGTAGGTTTAAACGCTATTTGTTACTTTAAAGAATTATAGAAATATCTACATATAGAATATAGATTATAGAAATCTATGAAATAAAACCGTAACAAAGCAGTATTGTGTTCATTCATTGAACCATTCTTACGGCAGAAATGTTTTCAAAATGAATCAAATCTTTACTCTCCCTACATATATCAACACAAACACCCAAAAACTGAATGACATGAGAAAACCCACTAGCACCATTATTGAACGACGCAACGTGTTCATTAGTGCGCCAGTCAAGAATGTTCAATGTCAACAATCTAACGGACGTGAAGATTGGAGGGGTAGCCATCTTCACGTAAAATTTGGGATATTAAAAAATACATTGCGGTAACTGTTCACATGTTTTATAATACAAATAGGTGTATCTAGGTTTGTTTATCGGTTCTGTTGGTTACTCAAGCATGAAGTGTGTTGGGTGGTAAACAATACTCTAGAGAGTAGGCCTACCTTTTTTTACTAACTTTCATTTCTCTGTCTAGACTCCAGACTTACCCGCGAAATTCCGACCAGTTGTATCGGAAGCCCAAATTGATATAAACACTGAATAAATTAGATGCTTTGTTACTATTTTAAAGAATATTAAAAATGTCCTTTGCAAAGTAGCCAAAAATTTTTTGGTGCTTTTATGCGCACACTATTAGTGTTCATTTGGTGCGAAACATAATAATGGTGAGAGTGTGACAATATACTTTATCTGTCTATGGACCGTTGATTTATTATGTATTACATCTAATGATAGATCTAGTGTAATATAAGATGGGAAGCTTATGGTGCTAGGGTGGCAGTATATTTCATCTGTCTATGGGCTGTTGATTTATATATTACATGTCGTACAGAGGCGTAGCGAGGTGGGGGGGGGGGGGGGGGGGGCGGGGGTGCGGACCGCACCGGGTGACACCATTTAGGGGGGTGACACCAAGGCAAAAAAAGCAAAATATATAGAGAAAAACTTGAGGGGGGGTGCAAATCGACAGTTCGAGTGGGGGGGGGTGCAAATCGAAAATTTGAAGGTTTGTCCCCGGGAAGGGTCGCTACGCCTCTGGGAGGGGGGGGTGTGACACCATTAAGTGCTGCAACGGGTGACACCCGACCTCGCTATGCCACAGAAGTCGTATAACATAAGCTGTGAAACTTAAGGTGCTAGGTTTACATTATATATTTCATCTGTCTATGGGTCGATGATTTATATATAACATGTCGTATAACATAAGCTGTGAAACTTAAGGTGCTAGATTTACATTATATATTTCATCTGTCTATGGGTCGATGATTTATATATAACATGTCGTATAACATAAGATGGGAAACTTATGGTGCTAGGGTGACATTATATATCATCTGTCTATGGGCCATTGATTTATATATCACATCTTATGTATTATAACATAAGCTGGAGAACTTATGGTGACATATTGTGACAGTATACTTCATGTCCATGGGCCTTTGATTTATATATCATATCTAATAAATTTAAACTGATTAAGTATACAATAACTTTAGGAATTCTTACAAAAGAAACTTGAATACAATATTTGCCTTGCTTTCTAATATTTCACGTAAGATAAAACGCGTATTTTAATTTTTTTTATATTTATTTTAATTAATAATTTTTATTTTTTTTATTTTTCTAAAATGAATAAAAACATCCAATTTACATCGCTGGTTGGCATTGCCTGCTAGTTCGCTTTAGTGCATGGGTTCCCAAACTATATCGTGAAGGGCTTTAATGGGCGTCGCTAACTGGTAGACTTAACTAAACAAAAAAATTATTGTAATGGAATAGAGAAGCCATAATGTTTACTTTGCATAGTTGTTATCAGTCATGAGTCTATGAAACCTTTAAAACTAAAACGTCATTCTGAGACGAGTCATTCGAAACATATCAGGAGTTCTTTTGTCGGCATGAAGCTAGTTGCTAACGTCTGTGACTCGATCGAACAGGAAGTTTTCACCAAGGAAACACAGCATTAGTGCAACCACCTTATAAAGTCATTAGATATTGCCAATAAAAAAAAGTCATACAATAGGAGAAAATATCATCAAACCCTGCTTGTTAAAGATTTTGAAATTAGTTCTTTGGTATTCCAGTGCAGTGAAGATGCAACAAATAGCTCTGTCTAATAATACTATTCAGCGGGCGTATAGCATACAAGTCCGTAGATGTTAAATAACAAATTTTGAATGAAGTCAAACTTTCACCATTATTTGTTTTCAAGTTCGTGTTCACGATTGGTTGTCTTTGTTAAATATATGCATTCAGATGGTATCAAAGATGAGTTTCTACTACAAAATGTGAAGATATTATTGAGAAAATAAATACGTTTTTTATGAAACTGGAGGATTAAAATGGAAAAACGTCTGTAGGATTTGTACCGATGGTGCGCCATCTATGCTAGGTAAAAATCGGGCTTTCAGAAATAAGTAAAATATTTAGCTCTCCAATCAGGGGGAATTCACTGTATGATTCAACGGTAAGCCCTCACCATCAAGACACTTCCGAATACATTGCAATTGTCACCTAATTCGATAATCAATGTCGTAAATTAGTTTAAATCTCGAGCCCTAAGCACCCGTCTGTTTAAAGAACTGTGCAAAGACATGAATTATGATCACTGGGTTCTGCTCTTCTACAATACAGTAAGCTGGCTGTCAAAAGGAAATGTGAATTATGTTTTTGATTAGAAATATGAAATAAAGTTGTTCTTGGTAGTGCAAAGTAATCAAGCCCTTTTGATATAATTTAACGACAAAGAGTGGTTAAAGAGAGTATCATACCTAGCAGGGAAAATGAACGAATATTATTTCTTTTCATGATAATCGCCGGATATTTTTAACAAAGCTGAACTATTGTCGAATAAACATACATTTAGGAAAGATTGCCATCTTTTAGAAACCCTGCAGTGTGGTAGAATGTGATATAAGTAAACGTTTGAAAGCGTAGATTTCTGGGCATCTTGAATCTTTTGAAAACAAACTGCGGCGTTATTTCACTGTGCTGAAAGAAGAAACTGACACATAATCCATTCTCTGTGTCCTTTGATGTTGCCAGCATTCCCGATGAAAAGCAAAGTGACTTCTTTGATATGCGGAATGATTCCGTTCAACGTACCGTTAAAACACTCTCACACAATATGTGTGTAGTATGCACCATTCATACCCTATTGTGACATTGTTGCCTTTCGTGTTTTAATTCCTTTTGTGTCTACATATCTTTGCGAGAGTGTATTTTCAACACTACTCCAATTTAAAACAAAACAAAGAAAGAAAACCTCAACCGCGAATTTTGAGGCTAGTTTCATGCAGTTTCACCCATCGCGTAAACACAGTTATAAAAATTAATTGAAAATAAAGTAAAACTAGACATTCTTACTTTAATATTTATTAATTTCCTTACTAATTTCGACTTTTATTTCTCTGGGTGTTGCGGGTTACTTACTATTTATAAAAAGGGTCGCAACTCGAAAAAGTTTGGGAACCCATGCTATAGTAGTACAGCTTTGATCATCAATTTGTGAGAACAAGTACACATTTGAAATGTAGCAATATAGTATTCCTACTTTTTTTAGATGTTTTTTAATAGTACAGCTTTGATCATCAGATTATGAGTACTAATACAAATTTAAAATATAGTAATGTAGTATGATGTAGTAAGATGTTCTATAGTAGTATAGCTTTGATCATCAGATTAAAAGTACTAATACACATTTGAAATACGGTAATGTAGTATTTCTACCCTTTTTTTAAAGATGTTCTTTACTAGTATAGCTTTGACCATAGCTTATGAGTACTAATACAAATTTGAAATATATAATATAGTATTCCTACTTTTTAAAAAAGATGTTCTTTAGTAGTATAGCTATGATCATCAGCTAATAAGGACTAATACACATTTGAAATACAGTAATATAGTATTCCTACTGTTTTTAGATGTTCTTTCGAGCCTAAAATATGGTTTATGTATATATGATACAAAAGTCTAATTTAAAGGTGTTTTCAAACTAAACAATTAAACAATGAATTAAATGTTAAATATATGAGAGGAGGTGGAGGGTTTAAACCCCATATTTTTTTTTCTATTTTCAAAGAAACTTTGACTTGAGCTGAGGTACCTGAAATTGCATACGCTTTTTCGATATTATAACAAAAATATACTACATTATTTTGTGTTCATTTGTACAATTTAAGTGAGATACACACCGGATAGTTTTTTTAGTTATTACTCTAGCGAGTACTAAATATAGTTAGTCTTCTTTCGACTCTAGTTAGTATTATGTCCATTGAAAAATTATTACTTTAGAACGCTACCTCTCCAACATAGAGCCCGGATGAAATGTTTGTTTATATTTTTTGAAAAGAATAAACAATCGAAGTAACACTCTTTTTGTTACCCTCGGGGATTGAACTGAGACCTCAGGATTTATCAAATGGTTTCGTTTTTTTGTGTGTTAAATATTTTACAATAAGGGGTGGTCATTATCGGTCAGTTTTTAGCTCTTGGCGAGGATGGTGAGGGTAACCGATAGTTGTTTTTTTTTTTTAATATGACGGAGTAAATTACCGAGGTCCATGCCAAAAGTTAGTCACAGGAACAAAACAGTACCCTATAAATACTTTTTTTGACATTTTGCTTAGTTTTTCGTAAATAATTACAACGAGCCGACCCGCGGTGTATCATACGCTGCTATTTAGTTGTTGTTTTTCTACTTTTCCGTAATTCATAATTTGTGAATTCGACAGTACCAATGCTGCCACTGAAAATATTTGCTTTAAAACACTAAACCCTCCTCCCCCCCCCCCCGTGAAATCAGCCTCTTAGTTATCTCCTCTAAGTTTAAAATCGTTTCAAACTAAATTATCTGCCCCTAATAACCGTTACCGAACCCGGCTCTACGATTGTAAAATGTAAACATTAGCGTGAACCACAGCTCACCAGACCATGTGAAGGGGGGGTGGGGGTGGTAGCGACAGAGAGGAAGAGAGGGGATTGTAAGGCGCGCTTGCAGCTTGTTTTCTAACGACTCCCAGAAGAGAATTATATATATAGATGTTCATATACGCAAGATTTTCTCAAAAGCGACCAGTTTTTTGGTATCCTTGGGCATTGGTCTAAAACAGTGGTCGGCAATCTTTTGAAGCGGAAGAGCCAAAAGTTACAATTTTCAAAATTTCCCTGGTTTTAAAGAGCCACTAACATTTTTTTAAATTTAAAATATATTTATTTAAAAAAATGGATTTGTTGTTTAAAATAATTAGCTTTATTTATGAAATAATATTTATTCCTATAAAAACATACGCTTGTTTCGCCAGAATAATTAAACTAGTTATCAAAAAATAAAAATATAGCACTTAAGAAGCAGTTAACTTTTTTTTCTTTCTTTACGGACATCACCGGCTCAGGGGATGTCTCTCTAGGCTACAGGACATTACCCCCCCCCCCCTGGATATTCCCTCCCACCGGACATTTCCCCCCCCCCCCCCGGACATTTCCCCCCATACATTTCCCCCCGTATTTACCCTCCCCCCCCAGGAACAATTACACTCCCGTCAATTACCCCCCCCCCACACACACACACCATCCAACAAGATAGAATCCTGATTCTAACTCCAAATCTATACATATATATATATTACCTTAAACCTAACCTTAAAACAAAGATGAAAAACTTAACAATTTACCTCACCCTAAAATAAACCCAAACCCAACTCATTCATTTAAGCCTAACCCTGATCCTAACACTCACCTTAGCCCTAGCCCTTGTCCTAGCCCGAACCCTAGCCCTAGCCCTAGCCCTAGCTGAACCTTAAGCTATGACCCGGGGGGGGGGGGGGGGGTAATGTCCTACTTGGTGGGGGGTAATTGACAGGGGGGTAATTAGTCGGTGGGTAATGACGGGGGTGGGGGGTGTAATGCCCTGTTCCCGTCTCCCATTAGCCAGGCATGCCTCAACACGGCAAACTCGCTGACCAACTGGCTTGGATATCGGTTTGATTACCGTGTATCGTAAATTTTGACCTTTGGTTCTCACCAGGCTTATCTTCCACCCCACTAAACTCGTACCCCACCGTCCAGTACCCGGCTCAACAGTAGAAAGCTAATAACTAAATAAACTACATTACTCACGTTAATGATTACTGACAGATAAGGAAATGCATTCTGAATAAAATATCATTTCCCATTTGACGTTATGTGATAAGGTCGGCACTTGGGCAGTGGCAGACATGGCATTGTTGTCACGTGTCTGTCGCCAGCACGGCTGTGGGGCTGGGCCTGGTGCCCAAGCGGCTGTCCGTATACTTTCTACTGCACCTTTTCTCACTCACTGTTCTTTAATGAGTTGTTTCTTCTGTTTAAACTTGTGTTTCTTTGCAGTATAATTTTTGTTATGAGTTTTGAAAATGAAATAATATAAATAATAGTATTTGTGCACGGAACTGGAATGCCGCATCTTGACATCAAAAGAGCCACATGCGGCTCGTAAGCCGCATGTTGCCGACCCCTGGTCTGGAAGCTCACAAAATATTAGAGGGAGTTGAATTTAAGATAATTTTCCATATATATTATGCTTATCTAAGGAGGTGGTCACTCGCAGTTGGTATTTAGCCCTCGACGAGAGCATATATTCTAACGGGCAAGTTTTCCATATTGCCGAATAAATTACTACGGCCAGATCCATGGAATACATTACCGAAGTCCATTGAATAAATTACCGAAGTCCATTGAATAAATTATCGAAGTCCATTGAATAAATTACCGAAGTCCATTGAATAAATTATCGAAGTCCATGGAATAAATTACCGAAGTCCATTGAATAAATTATCGAAGTCCATTGAATAAATTACCGAAGTCCATTGAATAAATTATCGAAGTCCATTGAATAAATTACCGAAGTCCATTGAATAAATTACCGAAGTCCATTGAATAAATTACCGTTCCATTGAATAAATTATCGAAGTCCATTGAATAAATTACCGTTCCATTGAATAAGTTATAGAAGTCCACTGAATAAATTACCGAAGTCCATTGAATAAATTACCGAAGTCCAAATAAATAAATTACCGAAGTGCATGGAATAAATTATCGAAGTCCACGGAAAAAAAAATAGCTTTATGTACAGAGATTAAATGCTGTAAAAATTTTCAGATATTCACTTCATTTTTACAAAAGTTTCTATAAGGAAATATGCGTCTAGCCATCCTTCACCCCTTGAGTGAATTTTTCACAAAAGTTACTTCAGTTTATTTTTTCGTTACCCTCGTGAGTTGCTCTGCGAGCTCAGGAATTATCAGAGGGTTTCGACGTGGGGAATTTTTTTTTTCGATATAAATCTCATATATACCGCGGCCAGTCTCTTTCGATTTCCTCTCATTCGTCGAGCTTTTTGCCGATGTGTATTTTACTCCCGTGTTTGTACTAGCCCCACGGGAGTGTGGGTTAACTTTGAAGCACCTGCTGCACTGACAAGTGCACTAACCAGCATTGGACCAATATTATGTATAGACGTATTAAAAATAGAAAGCCAATTATTTTCTAACAAAAAATATATGAAACAATAAATATATACCCCCGGAGCAGTCCCCCTCTGTCAATTACCCCCCCCACCCCCCACCAAGTTAGAATTAGAATCCTAACTCTAACTCAGATTCTATACCTATATATTACCTTGACCCTTACCTTAAGAAAAAGACCAAAACCTAATCATTCACCCCAGCCTTAAAACTTAACACAATACCAACGCTAGACTTTTGTTTAAGCCTAACCTTGACCATAACACTAACCCTAATCCTAGCCCTGGCCCTCACCCTAACCCTAGCTGTACCTAGCTCCGACCAGGAGTGGGTAATGTCCTATTGGGCGGGGGGGGGGGGGGGTAATTGACAAGGGGGTAATGTCGGCGGGGGGGGGGAATGTCCGGTGGGTAATTGAGTAACGTGGGGGTAATGCCCTGTTCCTGTAAATACATTTACTTAAAAATTTAAGAAGTGACTTAACCTTTTCTTTTGGTTGGATGTTATTTTATTATTTTTACTTGGCTTAAGTCCTTCTTTCTAAAATATTTGGATAAATAAAATTATTTCCTTAAAACTAGCCGACCCTTTTAATTAACGCAAAAGATAAAGTTATGAAATGGTTACTGTAGTCCTTACAAGTACACGTTTTGATAATATAAAATTGTGTCAATGTTTGTGGTAAGGATGTTGCCACATTAAATAGATATATACACTGAAACTGTTGAGTCCAAAGCAATACCAAAATAAATGCTACACATTTTAGTTAGAGAAGAGTAACATGTCTTAATTTTTTTTCATCTGAAAAGGATTTTCCTTTGTATGTTTGTTACGAAATACAGACAAACTTGAATTAGTTTTGAATTAGTTTTGTATGCTCTTTAGAATGGATGGATTAGTATGGGAGAAATATACATGTTCCCATTACATAGTTTTATAATCGTGTGCGGGATATTAGAACTAACGTGGTTTTAAAAACTTGATTACATGGTTTGTGTTGGACTTAACTAGAAAATTGACTTTTTTTTTAGTCTTTTCCGTAACTAAAAGTAATTACCAATAGTATTTTATTTTCCAATTTTTTCAATGATTATTCTAAGATTACATAACTAGGTTAAGCGTTTTAGCTTTATTTTAAACATTTACCGACGAATTTGTTTACTAAAAATTTAAAAAAAAGGGGATTTTCAGTAAAAATAATCAAGGTTTTCTACACAGCTGATCAAAGTTTGTCTTACTAAATTAGAAAAAAAATGAAGTTATAGTTTCGGGTTGATCTACATACATAGAATTGCCTCTTTAAACAAACGCAGTATTTTCAATTTCTCTGCATTTGCAATTCAACATATTCAACGTCTATATAGGGGTTCGCGTGGTCGAGTCGCTAAACCGAAAAGGCTCGAGTTCGAACCCTCTGGGTTCGTCAACCACTCTTCAAATATGAAACAACTGCTGCCTTGTAGTTTGTTCTAGGCTGGACAAAGGCTATGGAAGCAAATCAAAAAAGAAGAGCAGGCTGAAATCGGAGTCAATGGCCTCAATGGCGCTTAAACAGTTGACACGTAAACTTAATTGTGCTGGAGGGACCTCCTTCAAACACTAAAATTAAGAACGAAGAACATAAAGAATGTCTATATCTCTTCCAGGCATATGTTCTTTTTGTTTTAAATTATTTTAGGTGCTTTCTAACATTAGACCACGCATTTGCATACAGCACGAGCTAAAACAAAAAGTGTTGCTTTTTTTTTCTTTATGAAAGTAAAAACAAAACTTAATTGTATGCCTATTTAATGTTTGCAGACACGGGGTAAAAAAGACATCCATAATGGAACCGAATGTGCGTAAACCATGCAACTGCCACACAGTGCGCTCACCGTGTGATAGCAAGCCCGTTGAGTCAACGAAACCATCGCCTGCTGATCCAAAGCCAACACCTCCTGAGTCTGAGGTTCTGCCCAAAACACAAACCCCAGCCGAACCAGCACCAGCTCCCGTTGAACCAGCACCATCAGAAGTTGATCCCGCACCACCAGCCACTGAGGCACCAGCTCCCGTTGAAGAAGCGCCAGCTCCCGTTGAAGAAGCCCCAGCTCCCGTTGAAGAAGCACCCGCTCCCGTTGAAGAAGCACCAGCTCCCGTTGAAGAAGCACCAGCTCCAGTTGATGAACCCCCACCTCTCGTTGAAGAAGCGCCAGCTCCCGTTGAAGAAGCACCAGCTCCCGAAGCACCAGCTCCCGTTGAAGAGGCACCAGCTCCCGTTGAAGAAGCCCCAGCTCCCGTTGAAGAAGCACCAGCTCCTGCTGAAGAAGCGCCAGCTCCCGCTGAAGAAGCACCAGCTCCCGCTGAAGAAGCACCAATTGAAAATGTGGCCACCCCAACAAGCAATGTGATACTGGCTCCTGTTGAGCCGACCCCACAAGACTCAGACAAGGAGGATGATGACAAGAAAGAAAAAATGTTTCATAATATGTGCCCGGATCCTACCGGTTGTCACTAATTATTCTGCAAGCATTTTTCCCCGACCTCCGGAAATAGTTTCAGTCTTTGAGTCTCATACTTGATAGTTTCAGTCCTTGGGTTTCATGCTTGATAGTTTCACTCCTTGGGTTTCATACTTGATAGTTTCAGCCCTTGGGTTTCATACTTGATAGTTTCACTCCTTGGGTTTCATACTTGGTGGTTTTAGTCTATAACTCGAACTTAGTTAAAGTTTGTCGTTTTCTTCTTTCTGACAGTGATTTAAAAAAAAAATAGGGCGTCGAAATTTAAACATCTTTTACTCAAACCGTTTGTTTATAACTTGATACATAGGTCAAGAGCCGATGACAAAACAATGAAATGTAAAATTATTTTTTTTTTAAATAATAAAATAGCATTAATTAAATTATTGATTGTCCCGCAAATATCACTTGATTGTTGTGGATTATTTTTCGTGCATCTTTTTTGCTGTGTGAATTGATTTGGTGAAAATGTAACAAGTATTAAATTAAAAAAAAAAACAACAACAATAGAAAAAAAAACCATTTAAGGTAACAAAATTGTGTATAAGCACTATTTTGTATTATATTGTTTTTTTTTTTTTTAACTGGTTAAAACTACTTTTAAAATCAAATAGGTTTAGTATTATTTTCCTTAGTAAAACATCTAATTAAGATTACGACAAAGTGTGTGTATTAAAGTAAGGGGTGTTTAGGTAGTCTTTTGTCTACTCCGCCCCCCTCCCACACACACACACACAACTAGCCCCTCACACATAACACTCACAACATGATCATGTCACACCGAAGAGTAAATTACTGAACGGGTTTCATGAATTTGTATTCCTTGTTTAAAACGATGTTGTTGTTTTTTGTTGTTTTTTTTTTACTTTCTCATATATACGAAGTATAGAGAAAGTATTGTAATCGTTTTACACCTCACTGACACGGAAAACATAATTTTGCAATCTTGTCTGTGTGTAAACACGATACCTTGAGTACCGTTACAGCTAGGTTGATGAAATTTCATATATAAGTATTTTATCAAAATCGAAGATCCGTATCAAATGCATTTGTTGTGCTGTATATATCTAACGTGTATGTTGTCTACTTGGAAAGTCTAGCTAGTGTGTTGTGTAGTATACATCTAGCTAGTGTGGCGTGTTGTATACGTCTAGCTAGTGTGGTGTGTTGTATACGTCTAGCTAGTGTGATTTCTACTTCATACGTCTAGATAGTGTGGTGTCTACTTCATACGTCTAGCTAGTGTGGTGTGTTGGATACATCTAGCTAGTGTGTTGTGTTGGATACGTCTAGCTAGTGTGTTGTGTAGTAGACGTCTAGCTAGTGTGTTGTGTTGTATACGTCTAGCTAGTGTGGTGTGTTGGATACGTCTAGCTAGTGTGTTGTGTAGTAGACGTCTAGCTAGTGTGTTGTGTTGTATACGTCTAGCTAGTGTGGTGTGTTGTATACGTCTAGATAGTGTGGTGTCTACTTCATACGTCTAGCTAGTGTGTTGTGTTAGATACATCTAGCTGGTGTGTTGTTTTGTATAAATCTAGCTAGTGCGTTGTGTTGGATACGTCTAGCTAGTGTGGTGTCTACTTCATACGTCTAGCTAGTGTGGTGTGTTGTATACGTCTAGCTAGTGTGGTGTCTACTTCATACGTCTAGCTAGTGTGGTGTCTACTTCATACGTCTAGCTAGTGTGGTGTCTACTTCATACGTCTAGCTAGTGTGGTGTCTACTTCATACGTCTAGCTAGTGTGGTGTCTACTTCATACGTCTAGCTAGTGTGGTGTGTTGGATACATCTAGCTAGTGTGTTGTGTAGTATACGTCTAGCTAGTATGGTGTGCTGTATACATCTAGCTAGTGTGGTGTGTTGTATACATCTAGCTAGTGTGGTGTGTTGTATACGTCTATCTAGTGTGTTGTGTAGTATACGTCTAGCTAGTATGGTGTGCTGTATACATCTAGCTAGTGTGGTGTGTTGTATACGTCTATCTAGTGTGTTGTGTAGTATACGTCTAGCTAGTATGGTGTGCTGTATACATCTAGCTAGTGTGTTGTGTAGTAGACGTCTAGCTAGTGTGGTGTGTTGGATACGTCTAGCTAGTGTGGTGTCTACTTCAAACGTCTAGCTAGTGTGATGTCTACTTCATAAGTCTAGCTATCGTGTTGTATGGTTCATACTTCTAGCTAGTGTGTTATGCGCTTGATACTTCTAGTCTTTTTTCTGCTTAGTATGTTAGCAAATATGTTCACTGTATGTTGATACAAATTGCTTAACTTTGCTAAACATAAAAAAGTAAATCACTTCAGAAATTATTCATCTTATCATAATGCGCATACACATTACATTATAATGTTGGAATTGAGTCTTTGGAAGACTTATCACGTAGATTTAACTTATTTCAATGACCTAGACATTCGTGGGAATAGTCTGGTCAGAATTCCACCCAGTCGTCTTTGTTTATCTCACGTAATTCACGCACTCACCAGAGCTGAGTAGACATAGGGACGTCCTACAGACTCAAGCTCGGGATCCGAACTCGTGACTTTCGGTTTAGCAGTGGTTAGCTCAACCATTCGACCACCTCGTCCAGCAAACAATGGTATTGCTTAAAAAATAAAAGCAACAAAATCATAAGCAAGTAGTAATAACATGTTCACTAAACTATTCTAACGGCAGAAATATCCCTAAATCAACCCAGGCTTTCTCTTCTCATACGCACAGCAACTCAAATATCCAAAGCGCGCCTGGTTGTCAGGTAATGCACGCATCAGCACCATTAGTGAACGATGTGACGTGACTTGTGGTGCGTATTGTTGTCAAGGATGTTTCTTGACAACACTTTGATGTGACGACCAAAGCCAAGTGGGTTCGAAAAATCGTCCGTTTACAGTGCCAGCGCTATACGATCAAGGTACGACTGTTATTTAGTTATACTGTGTATACCTAAACACATCATTGGTTACTCCATCCTGAAGTGTTAAGGTATATAGAGTCTGTTTTTAAGTTTTATTAATTTTATTTCCCCTAAATTTCTATGGATGGGCTCGTAGATGTCCTATGGACTATCTATGCCCAGTCGACTTTACTTTCCCAAACTTTAGTCAGGTACCCATCATAGCTGGGTGGGCTCAACGTTGTCATATGGACTGTACCCAGTCGCCTTTACTTCCCCAAACTTTAGTCAGGTACCCATCATAGCTGGGTGGATGAAAATGTCGAATGAAATTGAATTAAAATTCAAAGAGTGAGGATAACCTTTTTGGGTATATTTTAAGATGGAATTTAGACATGATGGGTCCGAGCTCATGGTTTTCAGGTTTATAATTCTCAATCGCTGCCATAGGACCACCTCGTCCCCACAACAAACAAGTGATTTCTTTTTTTTTTATACAAAAATAAAAACATACATACATACAAACATACATACAAACCCCATTTCACTTCTGCAGCGTCATGTCTGAAATTCCACAAGACAGCAAGATGGACGAGAACAACATTGAAGTTGTGGCTCACTCGCCTATCAAGACAACAAGCAGCCACAGCATTCATCGCATTCTAAACAATCAACACAGGCAGCTTAATCCTCATCACCATCACCTGTCCATCGCCAGACGTCACATCATTAAAAGTAAAGGGCAAATCAGCCTAGGTCTGCGTAGCCACCTTACAATGAGAAGGGTGTACCACCACCTTATGCTAAGCAGACACCACATTTATACAAGTCATCATCATTTAACCCTTAGCAGGAATCATCTCCATCCAGCTTTGATCCATCGACCGACTGAGAAAAATCATTACCACCTGCAAAAGAGTTTCAGGCACCAAACCTACAGCCACCACCACCTAGCTATGAACACCCACCTACAGCCGTGGTCAACCAAAAACCTCCTCTTAAACCTGTACCGTGTGGAACTCAGTCATTATTATTTATTGTCTTCCCATCACCATCTGGCATGTGTCCATCACCCCCACATGTCATTAAAACGGCATCACAACCAACTTCCGATGAAACCCCGCCCCCGCCTTATTTCATTGACCCCCCAACCCGAAGCGTTTAAACGCATTCACCACCCCCTCTCCCTAAAACACCACCCTCACCTCCAATCCATGATCCGTAGCCTTAGGTCCTTAAAAAGCCACCACCACCTCCTTTCTTCGAAACGAAACCACAAACTTCCTACTTTAAGACTAAGTTATAAACCTACCCAAGTCAACCCCCACCTACAGTCAAAAATCGACCCCCACCCTCTACAGGCAAACATCGACCCCCACCCTCTGAATACAAACATCGACCCCCGCCTCCTGGCCATGATCCCGCGCCCCCTCCAGTTGAAAAGCCACATCAAACTGCAGTCAGCACTACACGATGCCCAACATGGAGAAAACCAGCCACTGACCCGTCAAAGTCGCCAGCTCCTGACACTTAGCCGCCAACAGCTATTTATTAATCCAGGAGACGAGTGGATGAGCCGCAAGGCACTGGACTTAAGCCGCAACCCTATAGCGGCCAGCCGTGTTATGTTGAATCCGCACCTACAGTCGATGAGCCAGAACACTCAACAAGGCTTTCAGACTCACCAAGGCCTTCAGACTCAACAAGGCCTTCAGACTCAACAAGGCCTTCAGACTCAACAAGGCTTTCAGACTCACCAAGGCTTTCAGGCTCAACAAGGCCTTCAGACTCAACAAGGCCTTCAGACTCAACAAGGCCTTCAGGCTCAACAAGGCCTTCAGACTCAACAAGGCCTTCAGACTCATCAAGGCCTTCAGACTCAACAAGGCCTTCAGACTCAACAAGGCCTTCAGACTCAACAAGGCCTTCAGACTCAACAAGGCCTTCAGACTCAACAAGGCCTTCAGACTCAACAAGGCCTTCAGACTCAACAAGGCCTTCAGACTCAACAAGGCCAGAGTTGGCCTTCTACGCTTCAACCTTGCCACTCCTCACAGACGGTAACGATGACCCACGAGCTGGAATTTAGTCAACTGTCTCACACGGGCCAAATGACATTCGGCCAACAAACAACCTTGAGCCAACTGTCAGGTAGCGGCCACGTTACATTGACCAGACGCGTAACGCTGAGCCATCATGACCTACACAATCCGCTACACCGAGACAACGAACTACAGGAAAACCAACAACCACGTGGTTTGATGCCGAATGGTTATGCTTCATCAGGATCTGTAAGTATTTTTTTTCCTTCACTTAGCTAACGCTTTTAGTCGAACCTAATGGAGGCCACTGAGTTGACAAGATTTTGCCTTCATATTGTTGACATGGATAAAATTCGATTTTTTTTTAAATAATAAAAAACTAAAAACCGAAAACAACAACCAAACAGTCGGGTTTTTATAACAATTTAATTTTAAATACACCGTGTACGGTTTTAAAAATAATTAATGGGCCTCTCAAACACCTTTGGCACTTATTCTCGGTGGCTTCCATATACGGTTTGTTCATCTTTCAAAACTTTACTTATTCTCGTTAGCTTCCATTGACGGTTTGTTCACATTCCCAACAGCTGACTTAGTATCGATGACTTACATTGACTGTTCATCTTACCAACACTTGTTGAATCTTTTGACCAATATTTCAGCCACCTCCACCTATCCTTTTTTTAAAGATGAAATTTAATAATTTATTTGGATGTAGCATTGTTTTCTCTATAGTTAGTACGTTTACGTCATGGTGTCACTTCCACTCTCTAGTAATACTTGTCAATGTGTACTTAAAAGACCATTTAACTTAATGGAACTGGCACCAAGGCCTTTTACTTCTGTACATGTTGCAGTTTTTCCTCTTGTGTCACCCCCCCCCTCTAAATGATGTAACCCGATTTGGTCTTCATCCCCCGCCCCGCCCTCGCTACGCCTCTGGCTTAGGCGACCTACTCCCCCGCCCCCTTCCACCCCCACCCTTAGCACTTACAACTGCAATCACAAAAATCACCGTGGTAGGGTGGCAAGAATAAAAGTAAAGTAAAAGTTTCCCTTTCAAACCTGACGGTTTATGGGGCAAGTGAAGTAGAGTTCACTTGTTTCTGTGACCTCGGAATATGAAGATATAGTGTGGTCAGCACTATGCCCAGTCGCCTTTACTTTCCCTAACAGGAGTTAGGTACCCATCAGAGTTGGGTGGACTCAGGGACGGTCTACTGACATGAACCCGGATTTGAACTCGAACTTACGGGTTAGCAGTCCAGCTCTCTAGCAGCCCAGAAAGACCACTCCGTCCCAAACCTAAGAGTTCCGAGTTCGAAACCACGGGTAGATGAGGCTCGATAGCTGGTGACATCACCAAAATCAAACAACTGCTGCCTTGTATTTTATTCTTCAATGGAAGCAAATCTAAAAAAAAAGCAGGCGGAAGTCGGAGTTAACGGCCGTTAACAGCACATCAGTGGCCTAGCGAGGTCGGGTGTCACCCGGTGCGGCACTTAATGGTGTCACCCCCCCCCCCCCCCATAGGCGTACGTAGCAACCCTTCCCGGGGACAAACTTTCGAATTTTCGATTTGCACCCCCCCTCAAACTTTCGATTTGCACCCCCCCCCTCAAGTTTTTCTCTATATATTTTGCTATTTTTTGCCTTGTGTCACCCCCCTAAATGGTGTCACCCGGTGCGGTCCGCCCCCCCCCCCCCCTCGCTACGCCCCTGCAGCACATTACAAGTGTATGCGGTGCGTCATACTTCATGGCGTTGGAGGGAAATTCCGTTCAACATTACAATTAATAATGAGGAAGAAAAATCTAATTATGAGATACTGGTTCTTAATTATTTTTTTTTCGTTTCAAAAGACTCACTATAAACCTACTTAATGGGGAGGGAGGAGATACGTCGTTTCAAAAAATGTGACGTCTTTCATGAACAACCTGTCTAGGGTTGCCAGGTGTCCAGTTTTGAACTGGACAGTCCAGTATTTGAGCAGACTGTCCAGGATAAAATAAATATAAATACTGGACAAGTATATGAATAATACTCTGTTACCCCCCTTCTTCTGCTTTGCGGCATACCTGAGAAGGGAAGGATGGAAAGATGTCCAGTATTTTCGGAAAAGGTATCTGGCAACCCTACACCTGGGGAACAATATTGTATTCAGCTATTTGTATTATTTAATTTCAGACTCACACAGGTGTCTTGCTAAGGCCATCAAAGTTCCCTCCCAATTTTTAAACCATAAGTGAACTTTATGTAATCATCCGCGGTTTACAAAAAAAAAAAAATCATCATTTATAAATAATAGATATATATAATTTTTTAACATTATAAATAAAAAAAATAAATCAGTAATATACAATGCTAATGCTTTTCATCTTCAATTTATTGTTAGCATGGTGTAATTTAGATGAGCTACGTTAGGTTCATTTGTTGTCCGTAGATGTATTACACTATTTGTTTTTTTTTAAAGAACGTTTTTTTTTTAATTAAAAAAGTGTGTCAAATGACTAGATGGTAGGGAGATTTAAAATGGTATATGTGACCAAGACATTTCAACACAGTCACATCACCTTCTTGTCAACATTTCGATACGTTCACGCATGACCTAGTTTGAGGCGGATGAAAAAGAAATCGCCCAGATTAGTAGCCACCCCCCTTTTCCACCCTTAAACTTAAGCTTCCCCCCCCCCCCCATTGCATAAGCATCCCCACTACCCCCCCCTCCCACTACTCATGTCAACTCGCCTATTGAACATCCGGGTAGGACTTGTGTTGACACAAGCAATTCTTAACAAAAGGCGCGGCTACGACACCTGAACGTCACGCATTCCTTACCACCCCCCCCCCCCACCCCCCGCTACCCCAGTAGTTGCGATACACGGACAAAGGACATTGGCAGCCAAACGCGGGCAAACACAGGGCGACACACGTACGGCAAGGATTAACGCTACACATACCTACTATTTGTCCGATCATTCGACACTTTGGATCAAAGACAGGAGGGCTTCAGTGATATGTCTGCTATTCTATTAATATCCCTGAATGTGGGCCGAGTCCTGCTCTACACTAGGCGGACCTGACACGGTAGGATATGATCGTGTAGCTGGGACCAACCGAACGTCTTGACCAGCTAACATAACTTGGATACACGTAAGTAGAAAGCTGTTTTGTTTGTTTTTAACTTTTGTTAAATAATTCATGCGACCAGTTGAAAGTATGACAAGCTAAAATAACTTGGATACACGTAAGTAGACATTTGTGTTGTTTCTTTATAACTTTTGTTAAATAATTCATGCGACCAACCGAACGTCTTGACCAGCTAACATAACTTGGATACACGTAAGTACAAAGCTGTTTCGTTTGTTTTTAACTTTAGCTAGATAACTCGTGTAGCCAGCTAAAATAACTTAAATACACGTAAGTGAAAATCTTTGTTGTTTGTTTATAACTAAATAATCTATGCTCCTTGATTTTGTTTATGATTAATAAATTAAGTTGGATTTCAGTCAAGATTACCTGTTAACTTAAGATTAAATGTTATTTTTACGCCTTGGGTTAATCTAGATTTAACGTTAAACTTATCTTAGGATTCGAATTAAGATTTAGTCTTAAACTTAGGATAATAGTCTACATTTTAAGTTAACTGAATAACTGTTATTGTTACACTTTGGATTAGCTAAAATTAAAACTTACCGTTGGGATTAGAAACGAGATTAAGTGACAGCCATTGATCTAGTTATAAATCTAGTATAACCGGTTTGCACTCAGGGACGATAATATTTTTATCTCAGTCCAAGTCAACCTTCTCCACTCCCCGCCCTCCCTTCTCTCCCCATAACACACGAGAAACTGATATATCTAGACACCGAAGTCAGATTTAAAAAAAAATCTAAGATTGTTATAATAGTTTTTTCTCTATTTTATGGGATTCCATATTTTTTTCTATGATTTTCTGCTTGTTTAAGAATTGAATGATATATTATAAGGTAGTAGAGATTTTAATTTTTACATTCTTCGTATTAAATATTTATTTCAATATATATATATATTACTTAATATTATATTTATCAAACTATTTTTTCTATATAATATTTATGATAATGACCGCGGCCATTTTATGTGTTAACAAATGACATGTACATTTCCTTCTATATCTCCAGAGGACGTGTAGTCTCAGTGAACGAACAACACACATACAAACGTCACCAGCAGCTGTTTCAAGTGACCTTTGACCTCAACATTGTGTTTACCGTCCAACAATTAAAAGCTCCGTTTCCGGTTGGTGTCAGTCATCAGGAAATATGAGGGATGCCGTGTCCTGGTCCTTTCGTGTCCTGGTCCTAGGTAAGTCCTTCACCACCTGAACTGGGTCATTCGATGTGTGTCGTGATATGGCCAGTGCCAGGTGTTAACACGAGTGATGTTACAATGTTCACATCATTGTGATGTTACAATGTTGACATCGTTGTGATGTTACAATGTTGACATCATTGTGATGTTACAATGTTGACATCATTGTGATGTTAAAATGTTGACATCATTGTGATGTTCCAATGTTGACTTCATTGTGATGTTAAAATGTTGACATCATTGTGATGTTAAAATGTTGACATCATTGTGATGTTAAAATGTTGACATCATTGTGATGTTAAAATGTTGACATCATTGTGATGTTACAATGTTGACATCGTTGTGATGTTACAATTTTGACATTGCGATGTTACAATTTTGACATTGCGATGTTACAATGTTGATATCATTGTGATGTTACAATGTTGATATCATTGTGATGTTACAATGTTGATATCATTGTGATGTTTAAATGTTGACATGATCATGATGTTATAATATTGACATCATTTTGATGTTATTATATCGAGATCATCGTGATGTTACAATATCGACATCATTCTTATGTTGTAATATCGACATTATCATTATGTTATTATCTTGACATCATCGTGATGCTGTAATGTTGACATCATCACGATGCTGCAATATCGACATCATCGTGATGTTATAATGCTAACATCATCGTGATGTTACAATGTTGACATCATCGTGATTTATTGTCATCACGTCAACTTTAACAAATGTTACACTAGTGAAGATTAGACGTTTTTATGGTTTTGATACATTTTCTTCCGTACTTCCGTTAGATACACATTTAGCACACACATACACAAAAAACATCTAGTTTATTAGAGGAAGACATACACCTTACATTGCAAACTTAATCAAGCATGAGAGTCTAATGCTAGATGCTAGACAGTAGCTTGTACTCCAGTAGGCGTCTACTCTACAACGGCCATGTGATATATCATAGTACAGCATCCATATCACAGTGCAGCATCCATATATCATAGTGCAGCATCCATATAACATAGTATAGCATCCATTTAACATAGTGCAGCATCCTTATAGCATAGTACAGCATTCATATATCATAGTACAGCATCCATATATCATAGTGCAGCATCCATATAACATAGTACAGCATCCATTTAACATAGTGCAGCATCCTTATAACATAGTACAGCATCCGTATATCATAGTACAGCATCCGTATATCATAGTGCAGCATCCATATATCACAGTGCAGCATCCTTATAACATAGTACAGCATCCGTATATCATAGTACAGCATCCGTATATCATAGTGCAGCATCCATATATCACAGTGCAGCATCCTTATAACATAGTACAGCATCCGTATATCATAGTACAGCATCCGTATATCATAGTGCAGCATCCGTATATCACAGTGCAGCATCCTTATAACATAGTATAGCATCCGTATATCATAGTGCAGCATCCATATAACATAGTACATCATCCATATAACATAGTACATCATCCATATAACATTGTACAGCATCCGTATATCATAGTGCAGCATCCATATATCATAGTGCAGCATCCATATAACATAGTACAGCATCCGTATATCACAGTGCAGCATCCTACGACCGGTTAGTTTACGTCAAGATCTTAGAAACGATGCAAATCCAATGATTGACTTAGAGTTAAATGATAAGAGCTTGATAATTAACATCAGCTTAATGGTGTGAGTTTAATGTATGATCAGTACTAAATGTACGGCCACAGATTGATACAAGGGAAGAGTTTAATAGGCGACAAATGTTTATTAAAAGCTGAATGTATGACGGGAGGTTCTTGTAATAATTGTCGGGATTCCTGTCGACGCGACGGTTTATCGAGGGCCCTATTATTGTGAAATTGTTAGCCAAGGTCCCTGATCAAGCTTTCTGTTTGATAAAGAGTTGCAGACGTAAAGCCGGAAGACATGTAGTCTGATTCATTTACACAGACGTACTTTTGTTCGGATTGTTCATACTTTTGTACCCAAACTGTCAGAAGATTTTCGACGGGTCTATTTCTATTATATAAATATTTATCTAGGGGGGGGGGGTATGTTTCGCGAAGCTTGGTTCGTTTTGGTCAATGCTGTTTGAATGCTGCACATCTATGAGTATCTGGAATACAATTTTAAAATGTAATGAAAACTTAAGCGATTTTTAATGGTTTGGATTCGTTATTTACCACGACCGTAATCGTAGTATGATATCGAAAACCCTAACCAAGTCCCTAGTCTTATTGTATGTATGAAGCAAACCATATCATCTACTCTACTCCTAACCAAACTGTTTCCGGTTAAGGTGACGGGCATGGTTGAGTTGGTAAAGCTCTTGGTTAACGAAACCTAGCTGATGAGTCTAAATTAAAACGCTTAATAAACTTTATAAAGGATTGTTTTGAATTCACTGTGTAACGGTAATCTGTGTACTTACATCTCGTGTTGGGAATATCAGCAGATATTCGGTATATAGTGTACTTCCCTTTATATAACGTGTTGGCTAGTGTAAACAAGATGGAGTTATATCCCTTGTTCGAGGGCAATGGTAATCAATTTTTAATTTCCTAATTTAAATTCAATCCCATCTTTGTTAAATTAGTAAGAACTGTTGAAACCCTTTATAAGTTTTCCTTAACCTAATGAGATGAAGAGTTCTCAGTGGTGTGATATGTTCACTGTTCAGTATTAAGTAGTGAATTTACTGTCTGATTTCAATGATTTAGTTTTTATAGTAATGCTAGGATTGTAAAATAATATACTTAGTCACAAAGAATGCCTAGCGTTTCCTTTGGTGTCCAGTACGGTTGAAGAGGTAGCGGAGATAAATTAGTTAATCGTGCGTTATTCATTTATCATTGTTCTGTTTATCCGAGATAATGAGACAAACGTTGTATGTCATACGTGGAACTGTATTTGATATAGGTAGTGTTACAAGACTTACTAAACCACCCATCTTTATTTTCAGTTCTGTTGTGTAAGGCCCAGGTGTACATTGTGGAACAAGGGGACAATCTTACCTTCTCTTGTGACAGTAGGCAAACTATAGCCTGGTTCAACAGTCCCTCTATGGAGTCCAGGATTGGCACATGTCGTGTTGTGAACAACGTTTGCTACACTTCTTACCCAGGTACGTGATGATTGGGTGTGGCTGAAGATAGTGTAGATTGATGTGTTGTTGTAGATAGTATGTACATGATGTGTATAGATTGTGTAAATGGATGTGTTTTTGTAGATATTATGTACATGATGTATATAGATAGTGTAAATGGATGTAAATTTGTAGATAATATGTACATGTGTATAGATAGTGTAAATGTGGTTTTTTTTGTAGATATGACATACACAATGTGGATGTAGATAGTGTACATTTGATGTGTTTCTGTAGATGTTTCCTAAATGATACGTATATAGATAGTGTAGATTTGATGTGTTTCTGTAGATGTTTCCTAAATGATACGTATATAGATAGTGTAGATTTGATGTGTTTCTGTAGATGTTACGTACATGATATTATGTAGATATTGTAGATTTCATGTGTTTTGTAGATATTAAGTATATGATGTTGTAGATTCGATGTATGTTCGTAAATACCAATACGGTCCCTACCATGTATCTGTACATTTTGTAGATTGAATGTGTGCTCATAGATATGGTTTATAGGATTTACCTCGCGGTTTGTTTGTTGATATTATATATATAGCATATCTGTGTATATTGGTATATTCGATGTTTGTTCGTAGATATGGTCTATTTGATATATCCGAGGTATTTTAGAACCTAAATGTGTTAGTAGATATTATCTATACGATTTACCAGTAGATTCGCTGTTAGTTCGTATTTAGTTCGTAGATTCGATGTATGTTCGTAGATATGGGCAATATGATGTGCTTGTCGGGATAATATACCTATCTCTGTGTATATAATTACTGAAGACTCCGTATAGCTTGTGTTTGCAAGTAACACAGTTTGGTTCGTACCGAATACAAAACGAAATTGTGTAGCTAATTGATCTTAGCTAGTACTACATAGATTTTCTTTTTTTTTTTAACATAGTGAATCGTTCGCTTAGGCTTTAAGCAGGGCATAGACTATGTTATGTGCAGCGTAGCTACAAATATAGTATCAACTAGATAATTCGGTTACACTAGGCTAACAGAACTTGTGTTCTTCTGTGTGAGTGTTTGTAATACTTATACTAAAACTCGTTGTAAAACAATTAGCATTTTAAAGTAATTTATTTATAGAGATTTACTTTTTTATTTCAGTATATCAGATTACAAAATATGTTAGGCCTTTAAAAATGTGAATGTGCATAAGTTTAAAAACTATTGTATATCTCGCTGATATAAAATGTAATGTAATTAACAATTTTTAACATCATACATCAAATTTAAAAATTATGTACTAAACCTTTTTAAAAAGTGTGCAATCCAGAGGAACGGCGTGGTCGGATAGTAGAGCCTGCTAACTCACAAGTCTCGAGTTCGAATCCAGGACTCAAATCCGTAGGATGACCCTGAGTCCACTCAGCTTTGATGGGTACCTGACTCACGTTAGAGATAGTAAATGTGGCTATTCAAAGTTCTGACCACACTATCGCTTCATATCACTGCATTTCATTCAACAGGGGAACTCTACTTTACCTAGACAGTCTGGTACTTTATCTTCTAACAAACCCAATTGTATTTGTGCTTATTTAATTATTAGAGTACGCGTTGGAAGCAAGCACATTCAGGACAACTGACGGGTTCAGCTTGATTCGATCCTTGCTGACGGTCAAGTACGTCACCAGAGAGATGGAATACTTTGTTTGTGCCTCCCCAAAGTTCCATATCAACAATATCATCAGCACATTTAGGCTCCAGGTTGTTGGTAGGTATAACTAACATAGGTGTGCATGCTCCAATAGGGTAGTAGGTCACGTGATCTAGGTGTGTGTGATATGTGTGTGTATAATAATGTTGGGGGATCTCTACTTTTTCAATATTTTAGATTAGTTAGCTCAAATTATTTGGTAGCAGAGTTTCTTCCAGACAACTGGAAGCCTCCTCCCCCCCCCCCCCCGAAGAAAGTCTACCACCCCCTCGAACGAAATGGAATTCATATAGAAAATAAATATATACTTTTAACAGTACCCCCCCCCCCCCCCGGAGAAAAAAGTCTAGAAGAAACAATGTTGTTAGGCAGTTAAAATTTGCGTTATTTAAGATATACGATTACACGCCGTAGATTATTTAATTTTATAAAAATGTAGTGTAAAGTGATATGTAGTGTAAAGTTGTCATTCACACACCCATGTGAACTCTTTTTATACGCACATTCATGGGACAGTGGATCTATATACATGTTTTTAGTATTTAACGTTAAACTAATGATAATGTACTATGTGTCTTGGCCTGTAGCCCGACCCACTAGCATTACCTGCAACAAGGCGACCTATGACTCCACTGGCCAGGTGATTATCGTGATCTGCCAGTTTGAAGTGTATCCTAAAGGCACATGCAGCGTTGCTGAATTGTTGTCACCTTTGCAGGTTAGTTGTTGTAGGGTAGATAACTGGGCATCTACTGTTCTATATCTTTGTTGTAGGGTGGGTAACTCAGCTAGCGCCGTTCTAGATTGGGTGTTACAGGTAGTCATATATACCGTTTTATATTTGTTGTGGTGGGGTTGTTTATTTTACATTTACCGTTTTATATTAGCCATAGTTTTGAATTAAATGTATTATAGGTAGATGATCTTAACCATAACTTGAGAAAAATTTAGATTATGGTTTAATAAATAACAATGTTAATAACGTAGGCGTGTAATGATTATGTTTTATTTACCTGTTTTATGTCATGACGCCTTCATACGATATTCATATCGATTTACCTAAAATATTCCGAAAAAGAAAGACTTTATTTCGGATATAGCCCACTACTTCTAATAAAGATCAGTATAACAAAATAATATAAAAATGTATAGATCCTTTAACTCTAGGAGGTCGTAGGGGCACCATGGAGTTGTGTGTCTAAGTGTCGCCTGCTGGCGCCCACCCTTCTCCATGCTTGACCACAGCCAGATGCCTCAATGTAGATGGCTCGCCTTGGTCGCGAATACGTGACCGTTGAAGGAACTTTTGCGCCCTGACCGGTGACCTTTACTGGAAGGCCATCCGCCCAGTGATGCCATATTAGCATCAGTTGTTGGATTTTGGAGTTGTCCCTCTTATATGGTTTGTTGCTATCGTGCCTCATCTGTCCGGGGATTCGAACTCGGGATGATTACCATGAGCTATACCAACCCGACCACGCCGACCACCAAATACTATAGTATATATATATATTAACATTAATGACCACCTGTCTCGATTTCTCTAATTCATTCCTGGCTAAGTGATATTATTTTTATGGTTAGTTATAAAAAGCATTACACGTCAATTGATTTTTCAAAACATGTTCTTAATAAATTGAAACAATTTCCAGCTTGAAGTCGACTACTTTCATCGCTTCTCCAACTTAACAAAGAATTATAGAACCACCTGCGGCATACGGGTGCTCGCTGGTGCCATCTCCAGCAGTACGTGGCGACAACTGCACGTTGTTATGGCACCAGAGCTGAACGCCAGTGTTTCACAGTACCAGGAGACCAGAGAAGTGGAGAGAAGCCCAGCTCAAGGTAAAATATGATCTACGCTTTATTCGCCGTTTAATTTGTTGTTACTTATTTAAAAAAAATAACAAGATAATGGGATTTTGTGATTAAATAGAGATCTGGTTATATTTTCGTAAATAAAAAAAAAACAAATTCAAAAATCGAAATAACATTCAAGCGTCCCATAGACAACTATTGGTCTTTGTCACAACTGCTAGATTATTCGTGTTATATACATAATTTTTCATAATCTCTTTTTTATTATGTAGGCCTAAATTGTAAACACAAACATGCATATGTAGATTTAAAGACAGATGCGCCAAGACCAAGTTCTAAGTGTTTCCTAGTACTAACTCTAGACTAAGACCAAACAGTAGTCAAATCAACCTAGTCAGACACATAGAAACAGACATACTCTGACAAAGATAATGTCGATATACGAGCGAAACAGACATACTTTGACATAGTTCATGTCGATATACGAGGGAAACAGACATACTTTGACATAGTTCATGTCGATATACGAGCGAAACAGACATACCTTGACATAGTTCATGTCGATATACGAGCGAAACAACCATATTTTGACATAGTTCATGTCGAAATACGAGCGAAACAACATTTGGACATAGTTCATGTCGAAATACGAGCGAAACAACATTTGGACATAGTTCATGTGGAAATTCGAGCGTGGATTCTTTATTTACTTTCAGAACTGAAGAAGTCCCCGTGGATCATACTCTTCACAGCGAATGAAAAAACCGGCGACGTGTTTGTCGAGAAAGGCAGTGCCGTGACTTTCCGGTGTGAGTCCCTGAGCGTGCCGGCACTAAGAACGACGCTCTACAAGACCAGGCTGTTCGATGTAACCTCGGTGGTCGAGGTGGCTAGAGAGTCGAACAGTTTGGGTCATGACATAACGGATGTGGATTGTGACGACGCCGCCACCTACACCTGTCAGGACAGCTACGGACTGGATTATATCCATGTCATCCACTTACAGGTGTCAGATTGTAAGTATTGTGTAGGTGTGTTATCTAACTATAATGAACTAAGTAGTCTGTATGACATAAATTATAGGGTTAGGATGAAGGCTATGATTAGGACGAGGGTCGGCGTGGTCGAGTCGGTAAAGCTCATTGTTGCTAAACCGAAAAGTCTCGAGTTCGAACCCTCGGGCAGATGAGGCTCGCTAGCTGGGGACAGCCACTCTTCTAGGAGAGACAACTCCTAGTTTGTTCTTGGTTGGACAAAGGCTGTGAAAGCAAATCCAAAAAGAAAAGCAGGCTGAAATCGGAGTCAATGGCCTCAATGGCGCATAACCAGTTGACACGTAACGCTTAATTGTGTTGGCAAAAAAGCTCATGGTTGATAAATTCGAACAATGTCTCGAGTTCAAACCCACTGGCAGATAAATCTCGATCCCCTTCAACACTAATAATTAAGAACGAAGAAGAAGAAGTCTGTATGACAAAAATTATAGGGTTAGGATGAGGGCTATGATTAGGACGAGAGTTAGGGATCAATTTGGGATAACTAGAATTAAGGTTAGGATGAGGGCTATGATTAGGACGAGAGTTAGGGATCACGTTAGAATTAACGAGGATTAAAGTTAGAGTAAAGTTTATGATTAGGACGAAGATTAAGGATTAGTTTAGGGTTTGGACAAGGGCTAAGGTTACAATGAGTGCTAGGGTTAGGACTACGGTTAATCAAAACCGATGACGAATTCTTATAGTTACTTTGTTGGTTCACGTATTAAGCGTTCAATTGCATGCCTATGATACAAATACAAAATCTGATCTATTTCAAGCTCTGTCGGTATTGTCGAAATGGGGCAGATACTATGGAGGGGGGAGGGGGGGGGGGGGCATTTACATGTGATAATCGGAAGCAAAGTCAATTTCAGTCTATTTTCTTCTAATGTGGGAAGTAGGGGTACATTTAATATATTTTTTTCAATTTTGACTGATAGAGGGGGTGGGTAAGTTGCTGAATGAACATTTGTGTACTAGATACAAGTCACGTACACAATATCAAGTTAACCTTAATGTAGTTGTCAGCAATGTCTCATTGAATGCCCCTGTATAATATAGATCTAATATTTATTTATAAATAACGTATTGTTTAAGCTATTTTATGTTCAACTTTAACTTAGTTAAAGAAAAATAAGAATATGCCTTACTTTATTTAGTTGTATCCTGTGTGGGAGGTAAAATTTGTCTAGTTTTTAATCAAAACATGCTTCTGTAAATAATATCACGCACAAAAAGATATAGGCTTTCCTATAGTATAATTGTGACAAAAGCGGGGTGAATAAATGTAATCTAGCATACATCTTACATTGTAAAAATATGCTAATATATTTTAATTTGTAAAAGAGCGGAGCAGGGGGTTGGGGTAGTAAGTTAATTTTATTGAGACGATGAAAAAAAACCCTGATTATAAGGGAGGTAAGGAGATAAGGAAACTAGAATAAAAAAAAAATTGATATTATGTATGCTTGGTCATTTAACTAAATGTTTTAAGTTTCTCACTTTATTTTCTTCACTTGTGTATCATCGCTGTGTAGATTAACACGTTAATTACAATTAATATTACAATTAATAACTTAATTACAGGTGGATCCGGAAGCTCCCCTGGCGTCAAAGACCGGTTCCCATTGGCGCTGTCCATAGCGCTGCCTCTGATTGCCGTCATCCTCACCGTCACCATTCTACTCATCTGTCTTCTCAAGCGGCACAAAAGCAGACGTAAAGCCCGCAGTCGACAGCTACATCTTGCGGCCCACGCCAACACCGCGGTGGTGTACACGCTACAGCAGGCTTTAGACAGGGGGACCAGGGGAGGTAGCTCCCTCACCACCTCGCTAGACCCGCCTTCCTATTCAAGTCTTTTCACCACGATGGATCCTCCACCGGCGTATACCGAAACACCCCACGACGCAGAGTACACCAACGCTGCTTTTGTTAACGACGCCTACGACAGCATCACAACTGAGAGTGTAACAGCAACAGCACCACCTGATCTAGTGTTGACAGTACCAGACAGCAAGGATCAGACAGTAGCAGACAGCAAGGACAGTGTGAATGTCAGTGATATATAATGTCATATATAATATCAGTTTGTTAATTCATGTTTTAAATCATTTTGATATACATGTAAATAGTATTGAGCCAGAAAATCAAATTTTTAAAATTCATTAATCTTCAAGTATAATTGTACTATCTGTAAATATACTTTTGAACGGTTGTCTTTCACTGAAGGCTGCAGGTTAACACGAGGAAGGTATGGGGGTAAGGGTTGGGGCATTTTATTACTTTTCTGGACAGACCCCCACTTGTCTATCTCTCTATATTAACATACTCTGTTTTCACATTGGCTAAGTATTTTAAAAAGTTATTACTTATAATATTTATATTTGTTTAAATGAGAATATATGATGCAACATTTAACTAAATCAAAGTGTTCATGTTAGGATTTTTGTCTCAATTTTACAATACTTAATATTCATCTACTACAAGCTAATATAAAATCGGTAAATACCTCACTACATCACAAATTGTATTTTTATAGTATTAAAAACATAAGGTTAAAAAATGTATAAATAAATAAACGGACTGATTAGAAAAGATGATTACAAAAATAACATCTACTTTAGCTACATTTGTTTAATCGATTGCTGCCCTTGACTTGTTTCAGAAATATTAACTGTTGTTACCTCACCTTGTTTTATACATAAGTTCCAGTACTATGTCAACATATTCATCTGTTTAAAATTATGTTCATAATAACTTTTTAATTAATGTTGGCCATATACTCCGCAAGCTACTGTTTAAAGTAAAATTGTAACTGTTTAAAATATTTGATACTGCTAGAGAAAAGGCTTACATTTCTAAATAATAACAAACTATTTGGGATGTAGATCCTAGATTCATGTTTATATTTTGTCACTACTTTTATTAAGCCCATGTTGTGTCTTAGCTACCCAAACTATAAGAATCTGGATTAGAATATGTGTATAACATTTTCATTGAATTTTTTATGGTAGTATTTAGATGTTGTGCCTACACTTACAAGAGGATCATGCATTGTAACTACATACTTTAATTTATTGTATACAAACGAGGATACATTAAAGAATGTGAAATAAATTATATGTGTTGTCTTTCAATGATTGCAATTAAACATTAGACTTTTATTCTGGTTATAACCAATGACATGGTAAAGTCATCATCATGTCATCATATTTTCTTGTTTATGCTCAAGACACATAAGGCGTATACAATAGAGTGCATCTATTTCAATGACCTCGCCAAATGATGCTATAGTGTGGTCAGCACAATGCCTTTGTTCCCCTAACTTAAGTCAGGTACTTATCAGAGCTGGGTGGACTCAGGGGCGGCCTGCAGTCACGAGTCCAAAACAAGATCCGAACTCGGGACGTTTGTTCTAGTAGTTAACGCTCTACCACTCGACCACACCATCCTGTTGTTGCAAAACTACACTAGTCAAATTTCTTTCAGCTGCTGGTAATTTAGTAGTAGCTACTCGTGGGATCTAGAACATTATCGTTACCTCAGGTTTAATTATCCCTATTCTAACCCACATCTAACTTATACTTTTCCGCATCTCTATTAAACTCTCTAACCCTAACAGTGTCACCATATTTGGAACCCTTATCCTATTCCTATCCGTATCAATAACTCAAACTACATACCTTTGCAGAACACTATCACCATCCCTAATGATAACTGTCCCCATCCCTAATGATAACTCACCAACCCTAACGATAACTCACCAGCCCTAATGATAACTTTCACCATACCTAATGATAACTATCACTAACCTTACCTTATTCGTTATCCATAACCCTATCCATATCCGTATGTATCTCTTAAAGGAGGAGGGGGGTATGCCCTTTAGCAGCTTTGTGTGGGAGGGTAATTGATCCGGGAGTAATGACCAGGAGGTAATTGACATAAGCTAATGTCCGGTTTCCATGTCCAGGATAGAACATCATCCTTGTATCTGTTAACTCGTCTTCTGTTCTCTAAGATAAGATCGGTAATTATTAAAATAGACATAGGAAATGAGTAGTACTTACATATAATGTCATTCAGACAACTTTGATTACAGGAATGAGAGATTATAGAGATACACATCTGTACCTTACGATAGGATAAAAGATATGTATTACGTGTTTTATTGCCCTCCTGTTTTGTTACACAATTTACCTGAGTTAAGTGTGGGTGGTCAACTATCGGTGTAGATAGACGGTCAACAGAGGGGCATGATTGGGTGGACACAATCATTGGTGAATAAAGTTATAAACGACTCATTCACTTGACACAATCACTTGATGCAATCACTAAACACATCCACTAAACACGATCAATAGACATGATCACTGTACACAATCACTAGACACAATCACTAGACACAATCACTAAACACGATCAATAAAGACAATCACTAGACGCGATCAATAGACACAATCGCTAGACACAATCACTAGAACAATCACTTGACACAATCACTAAACACTATCAATAAAGACAATCACTAGACACGATCAATAGACACAATCACTAGACACAATCACTGTCGACTATCAGATGAAAATTGGATGGACACAATCACTGGACACAATCATTGGGGTTTAGAAGATGGACACCGTCGTTAGCGGTCAGGCTATTGTATAGACTCAACCACTGGTGGCTACAAGATTGTATGGGCACAATCACTGGACACAATCATTAGGAAGAGATGCAGATTGAATTAACGCAAGTAATTAGTTAACATGTGTTAGAGAGTATTTGACCTATACGTATGATTCATGCTTAGTAAAAATCCCGTGTTTAGAGATTACCCGGACAGGTTAATAAAAGCTAATATTAGAACGTTTAAAAAACACCAACAAAGTATTAACAAATATAAACAGACATTGATCATAAACAGTAGAGCCCGTACCAGTAGGCGACTACAGCTCTTATCTACTTGGTTGTAAATCTTCGAAACTTTAAATACAAGCCTTAAGGTGCAGAGTTAATCGGGGGTTTATGAGTGGTGGTGTGTGTGTGTGTTGGGGAGGGGTGAGGGGGGAGGGGGAAAGTATGGAAACTTTGATTACACATTGTGATGACGTTAAACTTGTATTTATAATTGTTCTCCATATTTTGACGGTAAATAGGCCCATTGACAAGACCTGGATGTATAGAAATAGAAATAATTATTTTAGATTGTTTACTATTTAAAATAAATAAATATATATCATAAGGGATAATTGTATAGACATATTGTGTATAATATACTTCTATATTTCTATATTATAGAAGTGCTAACTTATAAATGCGAAATTCCATTCTCAAATTACAAATTATTGCATTCAATTGTGCGCTAAATTTGTTTTCCTCTAAACTGGAATATCATGACGCGCCGTTTATATAGCAGTAATATTTTTGCAATTGCTATTTTCAAAACAAATCGTCTAATTCAGTTTTCTAAAAAACCTTCACCCACCTCCTAATCTATCTGAAAATCTGAGCCCTAAATCTAGCCCACAATCTTTACAACGAGAGCCCAATAAATTATAGCCAGCACGAAATCGATGCTACAACACGGTCGTGTCATGATCCAGCGACCGGATCCCCCCAAGTTCCTGTGACCCCCCCACCCCCCCCCACCCCCCCCCCCCCCCCCCCGCAGCCCTTGTCGTGTTTGACTTAACCATCCTACCCCCGTGTCACCTGAGTCATTGGATCACTCGACAGGGACATTCAACTTTCACTTACCTGCCGTCGTTGTAGGCTACTACACCTGAGGACAGTTGAAACTGTATTCGTGATTGGATTCTTAAAGCAGTCAGGCGCTACAGGTAAGGTCATACAACTTAGCTATTTCATTTACCTGTAGACATACTGTTTTTTTTTTTTTCAATTTAGCTTTTTACAAATGTACTCTCGAAGCAGATTTTTAATCTAAACAAAGACTATATATATATATATATATATATATATATATATATATATATATATATATATATATATATATATATATGCTATTTATTCATTTACCTGTAACTTAATGACTGTATTTTTTAAAAATTTAGCTACTTACAAATGCACACTCGAATCAGTTTTTCCACATATATATATATATATATATATATATATATATATATATATATATATATATATATATATATATATATATATATGATCTATCTTTAAGTTTGAGATGTGTACTGTACTCTCCATCATTTGTTACTGATAGAACATCTGTAAAACATATTACTGATTGACAAGTTGCGACTATTAACACCCAATCTTAACTACCAATCACATATATTTACTGCGAAGCTATGCGTAGATCATTAACTAAATAATATACAGTCTAATTTGCTGTTTTTAAATATAATGTAATCTCGGCGTAATTAATATCAACACCACACCTTAATTGTTTTCACAGACGAATGGCTATATTTAGATTTTAACATAGGAAAAAAGGTGAGGCAAAATATCCGGTAATTATCCGATCCCGGATAAAACAAGCACGTACACAAAGCCATAAAACACTCCAAGCCTTTAACTCTGTGGTGGCCTTAGACGTATAGATCCGTCACACCTATGTGGTACCTCTTTGGTTATTTTATCCTTTAAAGTTTATTGTGCTATTTATTTTTACAGGAGTAGTGTGTTCTATTTACACTGTAAGAATGGTCGTTTGTTAAGTGTTTTGTTTTTTCAACAAATAACACTGGGAATTCACCATTTTTACCACATAAATTAATAATTACTATTTTAATGATTTAGAACATAGGGTATTGGTCCTAAGAACGTTCTAAAACGGCGCAAGAAAACAAATATAACATTAACCAATTTTGTTATCTGAGTTTTATAACCTGGCAAATAGGTCTGAGCTGAGACTTTCATATATCAAGATAAGAGATCTCTCGCTTTTGTTTATAGCCTGCATGCAATGTGTTTCCTGTTTGTTCTAGAGCTAGACAAAAGATCGGTTTTGTTGATCAATGCGTTGAATGTAATTGTTTTTACTCTTACTGGTAGATCGAGCATGTTTTATATACATACACACACACACACATATACATATATATATATATATATATATATATATATATATATATATATATGTGTGTGTGTGTGTGTGTGTGTAAATATATGTATGTATGTACTTAATTAATGATGATGTATACTTTTAAACAACATCACAGCCATGGTTTAGTAACCTATTTTCTTTAAAAGTTCATGTAAAATTATAACCCTTTTGAATAATGCCTGTCTGTTGATATCCGTAGATCAAGATAGCAAAGATGTTCAAGGTAAAAATGTATTGGATTATAGGCGTGTTGCTGGGAGTATCACTGTGTAGGTACATTTTAATTTACTGTTAGTCTTCTTACAGAGGATCAATACCCTTGGTAGAATTGTAAAAAACAAACTGAGTAATAATAGATAAAATTCATAAATTGAGTAAAGATTGATACCATTCTTAAAATGAGTAAAGATTGATACTGTTCATAATATATTAGTATAGTAAAAAAAAATTTCCCTTTGCGAAACCGACGGCCCATGGGCAAGTGAAGTAGAGTTCATCTGTTTATATGATCATAAAACATTAAAAAATGAGTTGTATAAATAAAAACAATGCTAATATTACTTTTTCTAAAATCGTATTGTTGTCCATTATTGAAATTTGGTCCATTCACTAAATTTGATAATAATTATCGTAGTTGATGTAGCGTTATACAGCATTTTAATTAGTTTCCCTTTATTATAAGTAATTTACCAGTATATAAATTATTGGGGCTGCGTGGCCTAGCGGTAGAGCACTAGCGTGCTAACCCGAGAGTCTCGAATTCGAATCTACAGTCTGTAGAACGTAAAGTAACCTTCGGTAAACAAAGGCGGCTGAGCATAGTGCTGACAACACTATCCCCCCTTATGCCGAGGTAATTGTAAAAAAAGGAGATGACATCGTCTAGCCGCATCTGTCTACAAAAAAGAAAAGATGATGATGATGTTTGTTCCTACAAAGACTAAACAACTTTCACAAATGTAACACCATCGAAAATTTTAACTTGAATGCTATCAATTTTCTTTTTTACTTTCTTGTATATACAAAGTATAGAGAAAGTCTTTTAATCATGCAAAAAAAAAAATCGAGATTTTTACAAATCTCGACGTTTTAGGCTCTTGTCCATATGTCTGTGTGTGTGTATGTGTGTCTGTGTGTCTGTGTGTGTGTGTGTGTGTAAACACGATAACTTGAGTACCGTTACAGCTAGGTTGATGAAATTAAATATATAATTATTATATCAAAATCATAGATAAGTTTCAACTTTTGAGCGATTTCCGATAACCGGAAGTGGAATTTTTTCTACTTTCAATTTTGCAAAAGCCTATAACTTGAGTACTTTTTCAGATAGGTAACTGAAATTTCACATGTAAGTAAAAGCTCTATTTCTCTGCATTCTTTCAAATTTTGAGTAATTTCCGTCGACTGGAAGCAGTAATTTACGCTATTTCCGATTTCTCAAAAAAAAATCGCATGTGAATTTATAAAGTACAAATAATATCCCGCACTATTATGCACATTTTATTTGACGTTAACTTAGTGTGCAATTCCCTTTCTTACGAGATTGTATTCTATTATAAAAAGTTTAAGTAATTAAAAATGGATTTAAAATATTGTCTTTCTCCCAAGTTGCCATCCCCCGTAGTGTTATCTATCTATATATATAATTCTCTTCTTCGAGCCGTTAGAAAACAAGCTGCAAACGCTCTCCCTACCTCCCCACCCCTACATGGTTTTAGTGAGCTGTGTTCACTCTAAATGTTTACAAGCAGAGCCAACGATTTTAAACGTAGGGGGGGGGAGGGGGGGAAGGAAGTGGGGGGGGGGGGTTATGGTCCTTAACGAGCTACTTATAGTGTTTTAAAGAAATATTTTCAGTGTCAGCGTTGGTACTGTCGAATTCACAAATTATGAATTATTGAAAATTAGAAACAACTAAATAGCGGCGTATGTTATGCCGCGGGCCGGCTCGTATTAGAATATTCGAGAAAGTTTAGGGGAGATCAAACCCGGTTTATTTCGTTTTTAATTGCTTTTTTTTTATTAAGGAACAATCATTTCTAATGATCATTAGAAAAAAAACGGTGGATTTAATTACTTTTTTTTTTCATTCAGGCTTCAGCTGTGTGGGATCAGTGCTGGTACAGTTTGAGAAATACGGGACTTGGTACGCTCAGCTTGAGTCAGTGGCAGAGCTGGTGTGTGTTGTCAAGAACTTCCCTCAGTCTCTTGAGAATAGTAGTGTTGTCATCAGGAGGGACAGTGACAGAGACGTCATACTGACAGTTGGTGACAAGGTGGCAGTGACAGATCCCAGATACACGGTGTCCGTCAGCAGAAGTTTTGATTTAATTGTGGTCAAGTTGGTCATTAGTTCTGGTATGTGTTATGTCTGGTCCAGTTGGTCATTAGTTCTGGTATGTGATATGTCTGGTCAAGTTGGTCATTAGTTCTGGTATGTGTTATGTCTGGTCCAGTTGGTCATTAGTTCTGGTATGTGTGATGTCTGGTGCGGTCATTAGTTCTGGTATGTGTGATGTCTGGTCCAGTTGGTCATTAGTTCTGGTATGTGTGATGTCTGGTGTGGTCATTAGTTCTGGTATGTGTGATGTCTGGTGTGGTCATTAGTTCTGGTATGTGTGATGTCTGTTGTGGTCATTAGTTCTGGTATGTGTGATGTCTGGTGTGGTCATTAGTTCTGGTATGTGTGATGTCTGGTCAAGTTGGTCATTAGTTCTGGTATGTGTGATGTCTGGTGTGGTCATTAGTTCTGGTATGTGTGATGTCTGGTCAAGTTGGTCATTAGTTCTGGTATGTGTGATGTCTGGTGTGGTCATTAGTTCTGGTATGTGTGATGTCTGGTCAAGTTGGTCATTAGTTCTGGTATGTGTGATGTCTGGTGTGGTCATTAGTTCTGGTATGTGTGATGTCTGGTCAAGTTGGTCATTAGTTCTGGTATGTGTGATGTCTGGTGTGGTCATTAGTTCTGGTATGTGTGATGTCTGGTGTGGTCATTAGTTCTGGTATGTGTGATGTCTGGTGCGGTCATTAGTTCTGGTATGTGTGATGTCTGGTGTGGTCATTAGTTCTGGTATGTGTGATGTCTGGTGTGGTCATTAGTTCTGGTATGTGTGATGTCTGGTGTGGTCATTAGTTCTGGTATGTGTGATGTCTGGTGTGGTCATTAGTTCTGGTATGTGTGATGTCTTGTGTGGTCATTAGTTCTGGTATGTGTGATGTCTGGTGCGGTCATTAGTTCTGGTATGTGTGATGTCTGGTGTGGTCATTAGTTCTGGTATGTGTGATGTCTGGTGCGGTCATTAGTTCTAGTATGTGTGATGTCTTGTGTGGTCATTAGTTCTGGTATGTGTGATGTATGGTGCGGTCATTAGTTCTGGTATGTGTGATGTCTTGTGTGGTCATTAGTTCTGGTATGTGTGATGTCTGGTGCGGTCATTAGTTCTGGTATGTGTGATGTCTGGTGTGGTCATTAGTTCTGGTATGTGTGATGTCTGGTCCAGTTGGTCATTAGTTCTGGTATGTGTGATGTCTGGTGTGGTCATTAGTTCTGGTATGTGTTATGTATGGTGCGGTCATTAGTTCTGGTATGTGTGATGTCTGGTGTGGTCATTAGTTCTGGTATGTGTGATGTCTGGTGTGGTCATTAGTTCTGGTATGTGTGATGTCTGGTGCGGTCATTAGTTCTGGTATGTGTGATGTCTGGTGTGGTCATTAGTTCTGGTATGTGTTATGTATGGTGCGGTCATTAGTTCTGGTATGTGTGATGTCTGGTGTGGTCATTAGTTCTGGTATGTGTGATGTCTGGTCCAGTTGGTCATTAGTTCTGGTATGTGTGATGTATGGTGTGGTCATTAGTTCTGGTATGTGTGAGGTCTGGTGTGGTCATTAGTTCTGGTATGTGTGATGTCTGGTGTGGTCATTAGTTCTGGTATGTGTGATGTCTGGTGTGGTCATTAGTTCTGGTATGTGTGATGTATGGTGCGGTCATTAGTTCTGGTATGTGTGATGTCTGGTGTGGTCATTAGTTCTGGTATGTGTTATGTATGGTGCGGTCATTAGTTCTGGTATGTGTGATGTCTGGTGCGGTCATTAGTTCTGGTATGTGTGATGTCTGGTGTGGTCATTAGTTCTGGTATGTGTGATGTATGGTGCGGTCATTAGTTCTGGTATGTGTGATGTCTTGTGTGGTCATTAGTTCTGGTATGTGTGATGTCTGGTGCGGTCATTAGTTCTGGTATGTGTGATGTCTGGTGTGGTCATTAGTTCTGGTATGTGTGATGTCTGGTGCGGTCATTAGTTCTAGTATGTGTGATGTCTGGTCCAGTTGGTCATTAGTTCTGGTATGTGTGATGTCTGCTGTGGTCATTAGTTCTGGTATGTGTGATGTCTGGTCAAGTTGGTCATTAGTTCTGGTATGTGTGATGTCTGGTGTGGTCATTAGTTCTGGTATGTGTGATGTCTGGTGTGGTCATTAGTTCTGGTATGTGTGATGTCTGGTGTGGTCATTAGTTCTGGTATGTGTGATGTCTGGTGTGGTCATTAGTTCTGGTATGTGTGATGTCTGGTTTGGTCATTAGTTCTGGTATGTGTGATGTCTGGTGTGGTCATTAGTTCTGGTATGTGTGATGTCTGGTGTGGTCATTAGTTCTGGTATGTGTGATGTCTGGTGTGGTCATTAGTTCTGGTATGTGTGATGTCTGGTGTGGTCATTAGTTCTGGTATGTGTGATGTATGGTGCGGTCATTAGTTCTGGTATGTGTGATGTCTGGTCCAGTTGGTCATTAGTTCTGGTATGTGTGATGTCTGGTGCGGTCATTAGTTCTGGTATGTGTGATGTCTGGTGTGGTCATTAGTTCTGGTATGTGTGATGTCTGGTGTGGTCATTAGTTCTGGTATGTGTGTTGTCTGGTGCGGTCATTAGTTCTAGTATGTGTGATGTCTGGTCCAGTTGGTCATTAGTTCTGGTATGTGTGATGTCTGGTGCGGTCATTAGTTCTGGTATGTGTGATGTCTTGTGTGGTCATTAGTTCTGGTATGTGTTATGTCTGTTAAAGTTGGTCATTAGTTCTGGTATGTGTGATGTCTGGTGTGGTCATTAGTTCTGGTATGTGTGATGTCTGGTCCAGTTGGTCATTAGTTCTGGTATGTGTGATGTCTGGTGCGGTCATTAGTTCTGGTATGTGTGATGTCTGGTGTGGTCATTAGTTCTGGTATGTGTGATGTCTGGTGTGGTCATTAGTTCTGGTATGTGTGATGTCTGGTGTGGTCATTAGTTCTGGTATGTGTGATGTCTGGTGTGGTCATTAGTTCTGGTATGTGTGATGTCTGGTGCGGTCATTAGTTCTGGTATGTGTGATGTCTGGTGTGGTCATTAGTTCTGGTATGTGTGATGTCTGGTGCTGTCATTGGTTCTGGTATGTGTTATGTATGGTGCGGTCATTAGTTCTGGTATGTGTGATGTCTGGTGCGGTCATTAGTTCTGGTATGTGTGATGTCTGGTGTGGTCATTAGTTCTGGTATGTGTGATGTATGGTGCGGTCATTAGTTCTGGTATGTGTGATGTATGGTGCGGTCATTAGTTCTGGTATGTGTGATGTCTGGTGTGGTCATTAGTTCTGGTATGTGTGATGTCTGGTGTGGTCATTAGTTCTGGTATGTGTGATGTCTGGTGCGGTCATTAGTTCTAGTATGTGTGATGTCTGGTCCAGTTGGTCATTAGTTCTGGTATGTGTGATGTCTTGTGTGGTCATTAGTTCTGGTATGTGTTATGTCTGTTAAAGTTGGTCATTAGTTCTGGTATGTGTGATGTCTGGTGTGGTCATTAGTTCTGGTATGTGTGATGTCTGGTGTGGTCATTAGTTCTGGTATGTGTGATGTCTGGTGTGGTCATTAGTTCTGGTATGTGTGATGTCTGGTGTGGTCATTAGTTCTGGTATGTGTGATGTATGGTGCGGTCATTAGTTCTGGTATGTGTGATGTCTGGTGCGGTCATTAGTTCTGGTATGTGTGATGTCTGGTGTGGTCATTAGTTCTGGTATGTGTGATGTCTGGTGCGGTCATTAGTTCTAGTATGTGTGATGTCTGGTCCAGTTGGTCATTAGTTCTGGTATGTGTGATGTATGGTCAAGTTGGTCATTAGTTCTGGTATGTGTGATGTCTGGTGTGGTCATTAGTTCTGGTATGTGTGATGTATGGTGTGGTCATTAGTTCTGGTATGTGTGATGTCTGGTGTGGTCATTAGTTCTGGTATGTGTGATGTCTGGTGCGGTCATTAGTTCTGGTATGTGTGATGTCTGGTCCAGTTGGTCATTAGTTCTGGTATGTGTGATGTCTGGTGTGGTCATTAGTTCTGGTATGTGTGATGTATGGTGTGGTCATTAGTTCTGGTATGTGTGATGTCTGGTGCGGTCATTAGTTCTGGTATGTGTGATGTCTTGTGTGGTCATTAGTTCTGGTATGTGTGATGTCTGGTCCAGTTGGTCATTAGTTCTGGTATGTGTGATGTCTGGTGCGGTCATTAGTTCTGGTATGTGTGATGTCTGGTGTGGTCATTAGTTCTGGTATGTGTGATGTCTGGTGTGGTCATTAGTTCTGGTATGTGTGATGTATGGTGCGGTCATTAGTTCTTGTATGTGTGATGTCTGGTGCGGTCATTAGTTCTGGTATGTGTTATGTATGGTGCGGTCAGTAGTTTTAGTACGTGTGATGTCTGGTGCGTTTAAGTTGGTCATAACTTCTGCTATATGTGATGTCTGGGGTGGTCAAGTTGGTCATTAGTTCTGGTATGTGATGTCTGGTGACGATAGTCATTAGTCCCTGCATGTATGATATTAATTACTTCTTCAACTATATACCAAAAACTCACAGCTTTACAGATAATACTGTCAGGTATTACCTTCAACTAATTATATACCTGTGTCTTCATGATGTATCTAACATACACCTAATGATGTCTCTAATATACACTTAATTATGTCTCTAATATACACCTAATGATGTCTCTAATATACACCTAATGATGTCTCTAACATACACCTAATGATGTCTCTAACATACACCTAATGATCTCTCTAACATACACCTAATGATGTCTCTAACATACACCTAATGATGTCTCTAACATACACCTAATGATGTCTCTAACATACACCTAATGATGTCTTTAACATACACCTAATGATGTCTCTAACATACACCTAACGATGTCTCTAACATACACCTAATGATGTCTATAACATACACCTAATGATGTCTCTAACATACACCTAATGATGTCTCTAAGATGCACCTAATGATGTCTCTAACATACACCTAATGATGTCTCTAACATACAGTTAATGATGTCTTTAACATACAGCTAATGATGTCTCTATCATACACCTAATAATGTCTCTAACATACACCTAATGATGTCTTTAACATACACCTAATCATGTCTTTAACATACACCTAATGATGTCTTTAACATACACCTAATGATGTCTCTAACATACACCTAACGATGTCTACCTTAAACCCCCAGTTCAATCAGTTGACGAAGGAAGCTACAAATGTTACGTGAGAGGTCGACACGACTCATCTGATGAGGATATAAACGAGATTGACATGAAGGTCGTCAGTAAGTTACAATACATCTATCTCACTCTCAGTCTCTTGCTAAATTGTGTCTATATATGTGTGTTAAATATTTTATAGAAGCTGATTTAAATTCAAATATAATTTTAAAAAGTTGCATAAAAAACGTTTTAGTTAACAAGCTTTTATGTAATACTGCACCAAAAAGGAGAAAAAAATATAAATATATAAGAATACACTACTATTTAAACAACTATAAAGAAAAACATGGGTACATGCGAAGTTTTACCTTAATGTCGTGATGTTTTAACACCGGGTACATGTGGTGTTTTACAAACAAGTTTATGTGATGTTTTACATTAATGTCGTGATGTTTTACATAGACGTACATTTGATGTTTTACCTTAAAAAGTAATGTTTTACAATAAAAAACATGTGATGTTTTACATTAATGTCGTGATGTTTTACATAGACCTACATGTAATGTTTTACCTTAAAAAGTAATGTTTTACAATAAAAAACATGTGATGTTTTACCTAACATTGTGATGTTTTACAAACAAAGACATGTGATGTCTTACATAAATGTCGTGATGTTTTACATAGACGTAAATGTGATGTGTTATCTCAATGCCGTGCAATATTTCTCAGATACCAGCACAGCTCTGACCTGTACCAAACCTCTACTTGACCCACCCAAAATCATCCAGCTGGGCTGCAGACTCTCCTCCTTCCCTAAAGCTCGCGTTGAGGTCGTCAATAGCATGGTATGTTGCGTCGTTCGGTTCAGTGGCGTCACTAGGTCGTGTGGCCAGTGGCGTCACGAGGTCGTGTGGCCAATGGCGTCACCAGAGGGTGCGACCAGTGGCGTCACTAGGTCGTGTGGCCAATGGCGTCACTAAGTCTTGTGGCCAGTGGCGTCACTAGGTCTTGTGGCCAATAGCGTCACTAGGTCGTGTGGCCAGTGGTGTCACTAAGTCTTGTGGCCAGTGGCGTCACGAGCTCGTGCGACCAGTGGCGTCACTAGGTCGTGTGGCCAGTGGCGTCACTAAGTCGTGTGGCCAGTGGCGTCACTAAGTCGTGTGGCCAGTGGCGTCACTAAGTCGTGTGGCCAGTGGGGTCACTAGGTCGTGTGGCCAATGGTGTCACTAAGTCTTGTGGCCAGTGGCGTCACTAGGTCGTGTGGCCAGTGGCGTCACTAAGTCTTGTGACCAGTGGCGTCACTAAGTCTTGTGACCAGTGGCGTCACTAGGTCGTGTGGCCAGTGGCGTCACTAAAGGGTGTGGCCAGTGGCGTCACTAGGTCGTGTGGCCAGTGGCGTCACTAGGTCGTGTGGCCAGTGGCGTCACTATGTCGTGTGGCCAGTGGGGTCACTAGTTCGTGTGGCCAGTGGCGTCACTAGGTCGTGTGGCCAGTGGCGTCACTATGTCGTGTGGCCAGTGGGGTCACTAGTTCGTGTGGCCAGTGGCGTCACTAGGTCGTGTGGCCAATGGTGTCACTAGGTCTTGTGGCCAGTGGCGTCACTTGATGGTGCAACCAGTGGCGTCACTAGGTCGTGTGACCAGTGGCGTCACTGAGTGGTGTGACTAGTGGCGTCACTAAGTGGTGTGACCAGTGGCGTCACTAGGTCGTGTGCCCAGTGGCGTCACTAAAGGGTGCGACCAGTGGCGTCACTAGAGGGTGTGACCAATGGCGTCACTATGTCGTGTGGCCAGTGGCGTCACTAAGTCTTGTGAACAGTGGCGTCACTAAGTCTTGTGACCAGTGGCGTCACTAAGTCTTGTGGCCAGTGGCGTCACTAAAGGGTGCGACCAGTTGCGTCACTAGAGGGTGTGACCAGTGGCGCCACTAAGTCGTGTGACCAGTGGCGTCACTATGTCGTGTGACCAGTGGCGTCACTATGTCGTGTGGCCAGTGGGGTCACTAGTTCGTGTGGCCAGTGGCGTCACTAGGTCGTGTGGCCAATGGCGTCACTATGTCGTGTGGCCAGTGGGGTCACTAGTTCGTGTGGCCAGTGGCGTCACTAGGTCGTGTGGCCAGTGGGGTCACTAGTTCGTGTGGCCAGTGGCGTCACTAGGTCGTGTGGCCAGTGGGGTCACTAGTTCGTGTGGCCAGTGGCGTCACTAGGTCGTGTGGCCAGTGGCGTCACTATGTCGTGTGGCCAGTGGGGTCACTAGTTCGTGTGGCCAGTGGCGTCACTAGGTCGTGTGGCCAGTGGCGTCACTAGGTCGTGTGACCAGTGGCATCACTAGAGGGTGCGACCAGTGGCGTCACTAGGTCGTGTGGCCAGTGGCGTCACGAGTTCGTGCGACCAGTGGCGTCACTAAGTGGTGTGACCAGAGGCGTCACTAAGTGGTGTGACTACTGGCGTCACTAAGTGGTGTGACTACTGGCGACACTAAGTGGTGTGATCAGTGGCGTCACTAAGTCGTTTGGCTAGGAACGTTTACTAAGAAGTGTGACCAGTGGCGTCACTCGTGTGCGCAATGGCGTCGATAGGTCATGTGACCAGTGACGTCCCTATTTCCAACCTTAATCTATCCCGACTCTATTTGTAAAGTAATATTTTTCTTATCCTTTCCCTCATCTGATCCTTAACCCTATGCTAATCCCTTGTAGCGGGGTAATATCCTGTTCCCAGAGGATATATATATATATATATATATATATATATATATATATATATATATATATATATATATATATATATATATATCAGGGGCGTAGCGAGGGGGGGGGGGCGGGGGGTGCGGATCGCACCGGGTGACACCATTTAGGGGGGTGACACCAAGGCAAAAAATAGCAAAATATATAGAGAAAAACTCGAGGGGGGGGGATGCAAATCGAAAGTTGAGGGGGGGGGGGGGGTGCATGCAAATCGAAAACTTGAGGGGGGTGCAAATCGAAAGTTTGAGGGGGGGATGCAAATCGAAAATTTGAAAGTTTGTCCCTGGGAAGGGTCTCTATGCCTCTGGGGGGGTGACACCATTAAGTGCCGCACCGGGTGTACCCGACCTCGCTACGCCACTGATATATGTATATATATATATATATATATATATATATATATATATATATATATATATATATATATATATAGAGAGAGAGAGAGAGAGAGAGAGAGAGAGAGAGAGAGAGAGAGAGAGAGAGAAATATACGTAATTGATTGAGTAAAAAAATGGACACATAAATAATACTTTTTACCTATTGTACACCCACAGAACGCTGTAGCTACCTATGCTGAGTCCAACAACTTTGTACCAGAAACATCACCCAGCACCTACTCGACTTTCGTCAAGATCAAGATCGACTACCCCAGTGTGCAGTGGGGCCAAAGCTACAAGTTTCAAGTTCGCTTCTTCCCCCTGAGCAGCGGGTTGTCGTACTTCAACGTCAGCACGCCCTGGATAACTCAAGCTTACATGGGTTAGACGTGGTTCACGTTTTTTTTTTTGTTGTAAGGCTTTATTCGGCCTCGTGATCATGCTGTTGGGTACAAGGTTTCTTTCAGGCATTTAACGAGAGGTTGGAGGGGATCACTACACCCCCTATAAGCACCACCCTTATTATATTATATATTATATGTACAAAATACATAACATTATATATATATATATATATATATATATATATATATATATATATATATATATATATATATATATACATATATATAAATATATATATATATATATATATATATGTATATATATATATATATATATATATATATATATATATATATATATATATATATATATTCTTTAATATATATATATATATATATATATATATATATATATATATATATATATATATATATATATATATATATATATATTCTTTAAAATATAACGAAATGGATAATTTACAAAATTAAAAAAAAATTATTATTAAAATACTTCATCCATTATTCAAACGATAACCTCAACGAAATTTGCAAACGCCCTCAATCTACAGTAAGCTATCTGAAAGAAACGTTGTTTTATTGTATTATGTGACCTAAGTGTGTTTTGTTTAGTCCCATTACTTATGTTGTTTTTAGAGCTATTATTTTAATAAAGGATTCGATGGTATAAGAATTAAATAGCCCATATGCCGAAAAATACTTCATTCGTTGTCCTGGTATATAGGCCTAAAAATATTAAGCTTTTTTTTTAAAGACAAATATGACATCAATGATAAAATTCTGTGCAGTCCGAAATACGTATATTTTACTTGAAACCGTTTCTTTTCTTCAGATAAATAGTTCCATAAACAGACTGTGTAAGAGTGCGGATAATAAATACAATTTAAGCTAATGCAACTGCGATATGATTTGGGTATTTTTTCTTTCTTTTTTACTCGGGCTATCTTACAATAGTTTACAAAATTTGAGCCTCTGCACTCGCCACAACCTAAAGCCGATCCAAACCCAACGATTCAAAACAAAACTACATCATACTTAAAAATAAATTGACAATAAGATGTTATAATATGGGTACATTTTTTCTCCACAAAACATCATTGCTAGCATGAGGAAACAAATATATTCACAAAGCAAAAATGTGTAGGTTTTAGACAGTATCCAGAGTAAATCGAACACACGAACATTACAAACAAATCATTCAGCTGTCTAAGGCGTTGTTACTACCGTTTTGTAATAGTAGACCATGTATTATAGAAGGACATGGTAGTATGGTAGAGCATATTACAGTTAACCCGAAAGATTCATTCTCCTACCCCGGGCTCAAGTCACGTAGAACGTCCCTGAGCCAATCCAGCTTTGATGGGTACCTGACTCACGGGAACGTAAAGTCGTCTAAGCATAGAGCTGTCACAACTATCCCTTCATAAGCGAGGGGTGGGAGGGGGGGAACATATGTCCCCGGGCGCCGACCTTAGGGGGGCGCAAAAATGGGTTGGAAAAACAAATTGAAAGTTTGAGGGGGGGGGGTGTAAATCAAAAGTTCGAGGGGGGTGCAAAACGAAAGTTTGAGGGGGGGGGTGTAAATCAAAAGTTCGAGTGGGGGTGCAAAACGAAAGTTTGAGGGGGTGGGTAAATCAAAAGTTCAAAAGTAAGTTTGAGGGGGGGGGGGTGCAAATCGAAAGTTTGTCCCCGGGCGCCGGGAAGGGTCGCTACGCCTGTGTGCTTAGATTACATAAACAGGTGAACTCTACTTCATCTTGACCGCTAGGATCAATAAGCTTATCACTATGACTCAATAAACTGAAATAAATAGTTTTTTCTCAAATCCAGGCAACGCGCAGACTGGCATCTACCAGTTCACCGCCAACTCCAAAGGCAGAGTCGTCAGCGTGGAGTACGGAAGTGACGTTACGTTCCAGTGTAAGACCTGGCTGACGGAGCCCACCGTACCGGAACTGTACCAGGGCGATGACCTCTTGTACACGAGCACCATGTACGACTCGCTCAAGTACGACATCTACAAGGTCAGATGTCAGCACGCAGGGTTGTACGAGTGCAGGGTCAAGGGCGGGGATGTCGATAGGATGGTCATCACTCTCAAGGTTAAGTCATGTGAGTTGATTGTATCTCTCAAGGTCTTCACGTGACTTGATTTTATTACAAATACTTATTTCTAATACTAAAAGTATAGTTTAGGCAATAAGTTATTGGAAAGTGTACACGGTGGGATAAACTATTGATGAAACAATAGGTTGGACATTACATTACATACTGCATATAGGCCTACATTTGAATCAGAATGGAGATATTCCCTCCTCTACTTTGTGATTCAGCAATAAATCTACTAAGGTAATCTTTGAAAGGGCGAATTTCTCGAAGATTACACTATTTCCAGCCCCAATCTCCCTGTGACTCCCAAACAATAAAACTCAATGTTTAAACTCTATGCATCATAACTTTGTTCTAACATATCCTGTTACGAAGCTTGCCTACCATTCTACCCAGGTCACCCAGGCGGAACCTCCCCCCACTCCTCCAACCTAGCGGTCAGCATCGTCCTGCCTATACTCGGCCTCGCCCTCATCATCCTACTCATCTTCTTCGCCATCTGCATCGTCAAACGCATCAACCGGAAACGCAACGAGATCCAGAACACCGGCAACAGGGGCGTGGTCTTATCCACGCTTGAGGTCCCCAACCCCACGGACCCCATCTACGACACCATCAACCTGGGGTTCGTCGGGGACGGTGCTGTCAGCAAACCCCCACCCCCGTACACCGCAGGTAGCTATGTGGTCAAGGACAGGCTGGACGCCCCACCCCCCTACACCGAGGCGTCGGGCAATGTGTTCACACTCGCATCTGCGCCAGTGTACACGGGATTCGATGCTGTCACACAAGGTAGGCTAGACAATTATAATTTACACTACCCTATCACATCAACATAAAATGCTAATTAAGTTACACTTGCGAGTTAGTATTGTTTATCATACAATGTCAATTAATCAGTGATCATTTCTATAATAGTACTGATGCTCATAAAACTCATATAAAACTCATTATCATGTTAATAATTTTAATAGCTGAAAATTCTAAATACACTTGCATTTCTAAATGGGGAAGATGAAGTAGAGCTCATCTGTTTCAATGAGCTCGGCATATAGGGAGATAGTGTGGTCAGCACTATGCCCAGGCGCCTTTGCTACCTTAACCTGAAACAGGTCCGAATCAGACCTGAGTTGACCCAGGGACGTCCTAATGAATAGAGCCCTGAATCCGAACCTTGTACGTCCGGGTTAGCTGTCGTAAGCTCTACTATACGACCACACCGCCCCACCCCCCCTGCATGAAAACTTATTGGTAAACAAAAAGCCACCTCTAGAGTCTAGACACAGATCCCGTCTATAAACATATGATCATCAGCCTCCTTATCCGAATACCATAAAGAAATCCTAGTGTTTCTATCATTTTGTAAGGGTCACACTAATTATTTACACAACGATTGTTATATTTTCAGGTCAGCCACATATGGAGGCCCCTCCCCCTTACCCTAGCAAATAAATCCTGTCAGAGTTTCATTATAGTGCTCAACACTTCTGTATATTTTATCCATTTACTTGTATGTGATTCATGAAAACTATGTGTATATTAATTGTGAATTTAATTTTGCTCAATGTTAAGATCCATTTTAATGATTTTTATGGAAAAAATGTTTTTTTTAAAAAATAAAACTTATCAAAATGTTTTTAATGTACAGGGAAAATATATAAAATAATTTTATAATTGTGTATTCAGTAAAACTTGATGTAATACAATCATTTTTTTATTTTCATCTATTTTCCACCGATATTGTTTTAAGGTCAGATTCAGTCTAACATAATTTGATAAACAGCATGACGTATGAAACCTTTTTTTTTTATTGTAAGGTGCTGTGAAATATTACGTTAGGCACAAAGTTTACATCAAGATAAACAAAAAAAAAACCATGGAATGTTTTTTTTTTTGTTTATCTGCTCCTGTTATATAATGACTGAAAAATAACTTATTTGTTTAGTCTAGAATTGTAAATATGCAAACAACTTTTTTTTTAAATTATTCAAACAGGAAATTCAAAAACTTAAATTTAAAAAAAAATCAATTATCTTTTATTGTCATCTCATAACTATTGTGCTAATTCAACTTTTCACTTTGTAATGGAAATAAAGAATGACTTTTATTTATTGTAAATAAATATTTATCATTCGTATTTTTAAAAAAATATAGATGAATGATAAAAACTATAACGTCATATTTTAACGAGAAACTGCTGTAACATTTTAAAAGTTTAATTTTATAAAAAACTGTAACCAAGTTACGAATCAAACATTAAGATAGGGCCTACTTATACCTCATATTTACAGTGGCATTATCAAGACTACTGTCATAACTTTTCAGCTGATACTTTACACTCAAGAACATGTAGAAACATTTTAAATGAGGTACATTCAAACAAACACACAATACAATATAAATGATTTTATAAAAATGGTGCATTAGAAATAAATAAAAGAAAAAAAAAAGAAAACATTTCATACATTGTAAATCAATATTCAATTATAAAAGAAAATACAAATGTGGACTCAGTAGGTTTCAAATATGAACATGTATTCGCCAATCTTTTAAAGTAAAATTTGACCTTAACATAATATTTGATATATACCTGTAAGGAAGTGTTACCAACACAGTGTACATAAATGATAATGAATGTATTTAAATTGGATGTGATAATTTTATTTTAATTTAAATTTCTGATTTTTGTCGAACGAAAAACCTAATTTTATAGCGTCCTAGGTGTAATGTTTCTAATTAGATAAAATATTTGAACATTAATAAACAAAACAGAAATATACAGGATATTTTTACAATAATTTTTAATAAAATACAGAAAACTGGCTACTTTTTAAAATGTTTCATGTTTATTATATATTTTACAATTGTTTTCTCATGAAACTATATTTATTGTTTACATTTAAAAATAAAATGTATCCAAAATGTTAATGAATTCGCTGTTATCAATCTTATGTGTTTATTTATGTAGCGATACATTATTTTCCAATACTTTTTGTTAATGTTTTAAATTCACCATAATATAAATGTATTGTTAAAACGCCCCAATAAAACGCTACATATTTACAAAATCATGCTTGAAAAAAGAATAAAGCGTGCCAAAGAGCATATTATATATATATATATATATATATATATATATATATATATATATATATATATATATATATATATATATCGAACAGTAATTTCTCGTCATAAACTTAAAGTTACCAATTTAAATGAAATGTCTAAGGTAGAATTATCATTTGGTGGAGAAATATTTTCTAAATTTAGAGCTATACCTGCGGTAGATGAAGACGTTGAGGCTCGAGTTAACGGCCTGGAAGATGCAGACGACACCGACCATCTCCTGATGCAGGCACTCGTAGAGCCCGCCCAGAGAGAACTCTGTCTCCAGCATAGAGGTCAAGCTGACCAGAACGTTGGGCGTATTGCAGACGATGAACACGACGCTGATGAAGATGATCTGCCGCATGCATTTGAGTTCTTTTTTCAATAATCTGGGTCTGTTTATGTCTTCAACTTGGTGAATTCTAGTTACTTTGGGATGATCTTTATCAAGATGGCATGAGGTATTAAAACAGTGTTGAGTTGGGTAGTTCTGATGGGATAATCGTACACAATGACTTCTATAACTATTCTGGCTAGTTTTTAAACGATGCTGATTTTTACCATACTGTACTGTAGAACTAGAATGATGGAATCTAAATCTAGCAGCCTCCCGAAAACAAGCCGCCAATATTGTAACAAAAATGATGACGATTATTTCCGAAACCAGTGGCAGAATTCCTTCACAAATCAACTTAATGATAGCGACAATTTTTTCTGTTAGCTGTGTAGTCCGTAGTTTAGGTCTTGAAACGTGAAACCTTGGATAGAACTGGGGTTTAATTTCCATGTAAACCAAAATTTCCGAGTAAGTGAATGTGAAAATAACCGCGAAAATCGCAAAATAAAACGTGAATTTTTTGCTGAAGTTCACTCGAAAATAAAATGGCCGGGCTACGCTTAAACATCGAACAACCATAACGTATGACGTCATCAAGATGGTGAACGTGTAGGCGTGGTTTCCCGTGTTCTCGCAGAAGACGTAAACACCGAACGGCTCTACCGGAAACCAGAGGGCCCCACCGTGGATGGTTTCCGTGACGTGGAAGCCAAACGACAGCACCCGCCCCTGCATGAGTACCAGGTACACCAGGTTGGAGAAGGTCATCAGCAGACACGACAAGGTCATGCCGTCCTTGACCCCGATGGAGACGATGACTTTAAGGTTGATGATGTTCCCTAAGCTACCGACGGCAGAGACTAGACCTAGAACACAGCAGGAGGCGCCTTCAAATATCAGAAAATGGACGGCTGTAAAAGAGTCATCTTCAGGTTGATTTATCCCTGTTATGTTGCTAAATGAAGAGTTGGTGTTGTTCCCTAATACATAGTTTATAATCTCCATCTCTTTCTTGTACAGAAAAAATAGTATAGTATGTCTAGAAATAAATAAATTTATAAGCCCTAAAAAGATAGTCAAAGGTTTGCCAAAAATTCAAAGTTTAACGCTATAAGATATAGAAGTTTAAAACCATAGATTTATAAAAAAATTTCTTCCGTTGGATAAGTATGGATTTGTATGTCACTTTTCTCAAGTTCTGATATTATTCATTAATAAACAAAACTTTTCTTCTTCAATAAACAAGACTTTTTATTTATAAACAGGACTTTTCTCCATAAATAAACAAGACTTTACTCTTTCAATAAACAAGACTTTTCCTCCTTCAATAAACAAGACTTTTCTCATTCGATAAACAAGATTTTTCTTCTTCAATGGATACTATTTTTCGTCATTTAAAACAAGGACCAAAATTGTACGAGAAGTGGTCATAATATATGATGGAAGTCACCTGAAGCAACAGCCAAGCTAATTTCACGTTCAAGTAAACGTCTAAAACAATTAACCTCTTCTTCAGCTAGTTTCTAGTGACATTAAATTGGTCTCATCAGAACGTTAACATTCAGATGCCTTCTCTAAATAAATTCCACACAGCCGTATCGTCATTACACATAACACAGATAGATGCAATTGTACCCTAAGCAATGCGTTGTGTTCATTCAGTGGTTGTACTTTTCATTAGATATTATTTTGTAACTTATATTTATCGTTGACGAGATTACATTATTAAGGCAATTTTTTTACCAGAATTCATTGAATTAAACTATTTCTTGAATTCAAGTTTCTTCTCTCCGAGCTCGGGATAAAATTACCCTAGAGAAAGGTATATCATTGAAAGCAATCAGCTTCAGCGCTTTAAATGATTAGTTGTATCGCTCACATTCTAGAAACTTCCCTGGCTAAATTGTACCTTATAAGGCATTGCCGATTATGGACCTTATAAGGCATTGCCGATTATGGACCTTCTCGCAGAACTAAATTGGAGTGAACGTTTAGAAGTCGATTTGTGCTGATTAATTTAATTGTAAAGTACATTTTTATCTGGAGAAAGAATAATTCGAATATATTTTTCTGAATCGATTTCACACCGGAACGAAGATAATTGTCATTTCATATAATTTCGACTAACAAAGTACAAAACACGAACATAACCAATATAACCATCGTGAAAGAAGCGATCAAGGAATTATCTTTGTGTTTTTTTCTCTCAGGTATTGGATGTTAAGAGACGTGTGTTTGTGGTGCCGGTTCCAGTACCATCTTGCAACAACTCGCGCTTCATTTAATGGATACGACACCAAAAAATTCTGACACAATCTTTATACATGGCAGACATCGGCACCAACATTGAAACAGTAGCCAATTCAATGCGTATTGTATTTTATTCTTTACTCTACAAACCTCCGACAACGTGTTCTGTGTGATATTCTCAAACATTTATCATTGAGAACTTCTTTTCCTTCGTTCTTCATTTTAGTGTTGGAAGTGATTTCCTCCAACTACATTAAATATTACGTGTCAAATGGTTATGTGCCTTTGAGGCAATTGATTCAAATTTCAGCCTGCTGTCCTTTTTGGATTTGCTTCCATAGCCTTTGTCCAACCAAGAAAAAAAACTACAAGGCAGCAGTTGTTTGATTTTGGAGTTGTCTCTCCTAGAAAAGTGGCTGTCCCCCGCTGTCGAGAGTCGTGACATTTCGCTTCTACAACTATGAGCTTAAAATTTACTGACTCGGCCATCATCAGTATGAATGTTTCTCTGGTGTTTCAATAACACTATCAGGGACAACTACAATTTAACTTTGTAAATTATTTCGCTGGACCCAGTAGACAGCGAGATATGTTCACCGATACACGATTTCCCTTGAATGAGGAAGTGAAGACAACGATGCAGAAGGCAATCAATATCGATCCTAAAGCAACATTTCCTCAGGCTATAACTGTAACAGTTATTGCAGTCTTACATTTCTTGCAATCAAGTCAACACACACGACGTTTACATATTGATTGGCACAAGAGTGCGATTGTTAAACCTCAACATACGAACTCACAAGCAAACAACGAAATATGAAAAAAAGTCATTGCTGATTCTGAGCCAACACAATAGACGCCTGTGTTGTATAATATCTAAATTTGCTTTGTTAAGTTATGTTTGTGTACAACATAAAACTACACCTTACTAAACTGGTATTACTGGACATTTTTAATTCCCGTGAGCTGTTGCTGGAGACAGCACTATACTTGAATTAACTTTCATTGGTGGAAATGTCCAGTGCTAATGTAGGCGACTAGGTTAATAATATAAGATATTAAAAACAGATGAACAATTAAACAACACGATTAAATACTAATTAATAAAAAGTTATTTTACTTTAATTAAAATTTGTAATATTCTTATTTTTTGTCTGTTTTCTTAAAACCAGATATGCAACATACGAGCCATTGTTAGGAATAACGAACACAATCTTAACGTACTACTTAAACGTGAAAATAAAATGTTTGTTTGCATATAATAAAAATACAAATTTGTATCCGCAATGCTATTTTCTAATTCGTAAGATTCACTCTTTAGGTTGTCACGACAATGTGGATTCTCAACTGCATTCTATAAATTTTGCTACACAAAAGATAGTGTAAGCATGTAGCATAAGGTGCTCTTAAAATTGTATATTCTTGGGAGAAGAAAATGTTTAAAATACAAACCACGTTCAGAAAAAGGCAACTCTCAATGAAAGTTTTAATATTCATTTTGACACGTTGAAAATAGCTTTAAAAATGTATGGTTAAACCAATTAGAACTTCACACATACAAGAAAACCAACTTATCTAGACAAACTACATTAACCCTTTGAGCCCTGGCCTCCCTGGCCTAATTTCTCCTATTTCCTGAGCTCCCAGGGCCAAACTAATTTTCACTTATCTGCTTCTAACTTTGCCTATAACTTTTGAACCGTTTGAGATAATCAAGCCACATTTGGTATCCACACTCAGGATCAAACAACAATGTAGCAAGATTCTGAAATTCTTTATTTTTTTACAACGTTTGAACAGAACAATGTATATAAAACGAACACATAATTATTGTTTTGACAGAACATAGAAGAAACCAATTTACATTTAGTAACTGTTTTGTTATTATTGATACCTGGCCATACTAGTTCATCGCCAGAAGTCCACTTTTGTGTGATAACTTTCAAAACAATTATCACTGCTGGACCCGATGTAAAGAAAAACATTGCATGTTTTGCACCAGTAAACAGTTTTTTTCGTTTCGGCAAGTTTTGTCCTTGGCTCTACGTGCATCAGAACGTACTTGAACAGTTTCATTGTCACTGTCAATTTCAATGTTACTGTGTTCAGTCTCAAATTC